TCTTAGAATTGTAAAATAAGATAATAACTGTAAAAGCATCTCCACCAATCATGTGGGTGCGCTACTGAAGTCGTAAGCGTTCATAAGTGTCCGTAAAGCGCTTAAGCTAAGCGTTCATTTCAGTGGTTTTGCAGACGGTTTCTGGTAATCTGTGATCATTCGGACCTCTCTCGGTTCCTTCGAATGACTTTAAACCCTGAGCGAACAAAGTCCGGATACCCTCACGTCATTCACAATGAAAAGACCCCAGACTCTGCTCAACATCTTCGCTTCAAGTTAATGTTGCAGCCGCATCACCAAGCATCATATAATCCTCAACTCCCCACTGCCTACATGCCGGCTCCCGCCCTCCCCAATCCCGCGCTACCGTCTTTTCCTTGTTAGCACTCCTGTCGATGACGTGGCACTTACACCCCGTTAGGACGTTGGGTTATTTGTATCCTAGCATCTAGTACATCAAAGAGCATTATATGATGGATAGTCTTATACACTGAGGGCGCGTGTCCAAGTACCGCAAAATAAAGCGCGCCTCGAATTCTGGAGCAGGACGAGAGCGGTGGAAGTTACGGAAGAATGGAATTTGGTACGATGAAGTGCATATGCGATAAAATGGGGGAGCTTTACTTGTGAGTTAGAAGGGGGTTACTTTGGACAAGCAAAAAATGGGTAATGAAGAACACACAGCCGCGAAGCTTGCTCACGGCCGTAAAATGGGTCAGAGTGTCTTGTTGTAGGTTGAGCAGACTGAAGTTTGGGTGGCGCCTAGGGTATCATCATCCACAGTGCGCCATCGAGAGTACTGAGCTGTGAGACGGTAACATCGGGGAAGTGGAGTGGAACGAGTCGAGTGCAGTGATATGATTGTGTATAGTATGCCGCGGCCGCAGATACGGCTCCAATACAGCGGTACTCCTCTGATATCTGGTCGAACAAGCATGCAGGATGGTGTTGGCGTGAATGGTATGGTTATTTGAGGCGCTGGTTGCTGCAGTGCATCACGATGTGTGGTGTAATGTTGGGAGCCGCAGTGCCTGAGCCTGGTGTCCATTGCCTGCAGGCCGTCCCACTGAATTTTGCGTGGCATGGCGGCGCTGCAATAGGGCTAAATCACTGTTAAGATTTGAATGGCGTGAGTAAAGATGCACACCTTGACGTGTGATACTTCTCGATGCACGGTAGGTATGAGTGGAATCACGATCACAAGTGCCAATGCCCAGTGACGCGTGAATATCAATGCTCTGCGCCACTCGATCGTCAAAAGCGCGTCACGCTCTCAAGCTTTTCCTGCACTTCAAAGGTTTAGTATTGCGGCTCCAAGTTCAGCAGTGGTGCATCCCCAGCGAGGCAGTGCCGTCCGTAATGTGTCTATTCGTCGTCGTCGCCGAATCACAGGTAATAGTATTCCCTGTCCATGTCAGTATTTGAACTCTGTCACAAACACAAATACTACCATAACTGCGCATGCGCGACAACTCCGCCGCGCATCTGCTCGGTGACGGCCACGACATTAAGCTGAAACGAAGATGTTGAACAGAGTCTGGGGTCTTTTCATTGTGAATGACGTGAGGGTGTCCGGACTTTGTTCGCTCAGGGTTTGAAGTTGTTCGAAGGATCCTGAGAAAGGTCCGAATGATGACAGGTTACCAGAAACCGAGATGAACGGTCTGGTCGGTCTTTGAAAAAACGGTCGACCGTTTGTAAGCCTCCCCTTGCCATGGCGCAGCTGCCCCAAATTCAAACCCCAGTCCCTCTATCGACGGTTTGATGAGGAAGGGTGTAAGCCTGTTGCTTACTACATCGCTGACACAACCATTTCGATAACGGGTCTTACCTACATCGCTGATTGGACGCCATGCACGACACAGATCCGTATATATAGCTGTACTTGGAGATTATGTCTTTGTATCCTCAATCATACGCTCTTCCACGTTACCGTTTGTCTGTTAGTGTTTCCGTTGGCATTACAGCTACACCGAGATCTATTCCAATTCTTTATCTAAACCAACAAATATGCCATCATATGCCATAACAGGTGCAGCTCGGGGGATTGGCGTACGTGCAGCTTGATCGGCTATCACACTGCGTTTCTGACGACGTTTGAATTTGACCAGTTTGAATTTGTCAATCAACTCTCCGCTGATTCTGGGAACATCGTTTTCGCCCTTGTACGCAATGAGGCCACTGCGAACAAGCTTAAGGAGCTGGGAAGGCATAATGTCCACATTATCGAGGCCGATATCACTAATAACAAGGCTTTGAAGGTGGGTGCTTGACGCCTTGGATAGGGGCTGAATTGACGCTTTTGTCCAGTACGCTGCTGCAGAGGTTTCTCGATTGACAGGCAACTCGCTTGACTACTTGATCAACAACGCTGGGTTCGTAGAGTCTGAAAGAGAAGGATTGACTCTTGATTCGTAGTAAGATTTTTGTCTGCTTTTCGTTCTCGGAATGGCACTGAGTCGCGATTAGCTCCTCAGAAGAGTTGCTCACTAAGGATCTCCTGGATTCGGTATGCAGCCCTTCGCATGCGAAGACGGTAAAGCTAATGGAGCCTCTGTAGTTCAACATCAACGTCGTCGGTATCATCCACACCATCAACATCTTCCTCCCGCTACTCAAGAACGGAAAAGCAAAGACAGTCGTCACTCTCAGTACTGGATTAGGAGACCTTGATATGACGATGGGCTCTGAATTAATCACCTCTGGACCGTACTCCATCTCGAAAGCCGCGGTGAATATGGTCAATGCCAAGTATGCTGCTCAATACAAGTCAGAGGGCTTCATCTTTTTGGCGATTAGCCCAGGACTTGTAGACACTAGCACCAGGGCCCGTATGTTTTTGCGATATCCTCTAGGTTACCCACAGCTGATTACCGCTAATCTAGCTACTGAAAAGGAACTGGAACAGTTGATGGCGATGATTGGGAAGTTCAGAAACGCCTACCCCGATTTCACGGGGCCAATCACGCCAGAGACATCTGTCCGAATGCAACTCGAGGTCATCAATCGGATCACCGTCAATGACACTGGCGCGTTCATCTCACATAAAGGGAATAAGGAATGGTTGTAGGTTTCATAAATACTCTGATAAGCTCGCTAGCTTTGTACTATAAACAAGTTACTTGATGTCTTGCTAATCACTCGCCTTCCATCCGCGGCTTACAACTAATGTCAGCAATAACCTTCACGACAGCATTAACAGCGTGCACAATGTCAAGAGTGAGATACAATAATGAGAACATATACATATGTGCGCATCTCAGCGCCTTTTAGATCCTCGAGTGTCATCCAAACCTGGTGAAAGGCGCCGCTTTCTACAGAAGATGTGAGCGTTCAGGTCATGGATGAATGCAAGTCCACTCACCGGCCAAGGCGATCTTCTGGTTCCCCTGAAGGTGTCCTTCCTCCGACGTCCTTTATCGTGCCTCCATAGTCAAGACCTTCGACTGCAGGCGCATTGTTATCTCTGTCTTTGTACCTATTCTGGTTGCGGGGACCGGTTGGCACGCCGGGCGGGTAACGGTGAGGCTGGGCGGACTGGTCCTACTGGAGCTACAATGATGGTTAATACACCGGGAATAACTATATTAGACAATCCCACCTCCGCCGTATCCTCCTCGTCCCCGTCCAGCAAAGCCTCTTCCGCGTAGGCCTTGAGCCATTGCACGACCTCTGAATTGTGCTGGGGGTGCCCCACGGCCCATGTGCGCAGGCGCTGTAGGAGCTGGCGTAGGCGCTGGCGTCTGCACAGGGACTGGTGCCGGTGTCGCACTGCCCTCCATGTTGGGATACATAGGCTGCCCCATCGGTCCTTGCTCCTGCTTAGAAAAACAAACACATTCATGCGATGTTCATATCATTTTCTGTACGTATCTAGAGTAGGAAGGGTTAACCCATACCTGCATACCAAAGTCGCCACCCATGCCCATCATTCCCGGTCCGAAGCCGTCCTGCATGCCCATCTGCACACCCTGCTCCGGCGTGCCGTTCTGCCCTACTGGACCCTGGCCAGGGACGGGGCCATCTGGCATCAATGGGACCCCCGGTTGCATCTGCATACCCATATCACCATTCATGCCCATGCCCATCGGTCCCATGTTCATAGGTCCCATACCGGGCATTTCCATCATAGGATTCATCCCGACGCTAGGTCCCATCATGCCCTGGCTAGCAGTGTTCATCATGGCGTTGGCGCCCGTCATGACCATCGTACGGAGTTCAGGGGGCAAGGCTATTAGTTGATCTTCTGGCATAGCTGCGAAATTCTAGGGGGAAAGTAAGAACTATGGACCAAACAAATCACCATATAGCGTACGAGTACGTTGGTCTTGAGGACATTTGCAAGTTCGCCCAAGTCTCGTCTTCTGTAGCAGTATGCTTCCCAAGATATTTCATCAAATCCATAGTTGAACCAGTCGCTGATATCAGCCCCAGGAAGTCGCCACTGTTTTTCTGCCATTGTGCTGATGTCGACTTCAAGTATTGAGTGGCCATCAAGGATGCCAGGTATATCCGGATTTATAGAAGGATATGAAGGTGGTGCGATGGCAGGAGGAAGAGTTGAGGGGTCCAGACCTTCATGAAACACGGGCTGTTCTGGTGCAACAGAGACTGACTCGCGGGGAACAGAGGGTGTTTGGGGCGTGCCTCCTGAATGAACAGGGGGTGCTTTTGATGGTGGTACATTTCTATCACGAGGTGTGTACTCAGTTGTCAACTGCGAGTGTGTGGGAGGAGCTGTAGGAGTCGTCAATTTTCATGAGAGAAGAGACAAATGGAATAAACGAACGTCTGTTGGGAGTGGACTGCGGACCACCTGTGGAACGGTTTAAAGCAGGAGCTCGAGGAGGAACATTTGGCCTGAAACAAGTTGAGGGTAAAGCGACTCAATCCGACGTGGAGCTTACCGGTTGTCTATAGACCGTACAGGTTGGTCCATGATGATCTCAATGTCCTGCAAGGACATTAGTTGCTAGAGCCCGGCAGGTTCATGCTTCACGTACATCTTCATCACTAGACTCTTCCTCCCCCGCACCATTATCATCCCCAGTTTCGGACTCGTCAGCACCCAGACCAAAGGGCGGTTCTTCTTCTTCAGCCTTTGCTTCGAGGTCTTTGACCACCCCATTTGAAACTGCCTTTACAGCTTCAAACGGTATTCTGCAACAAGGAGAATTCAACAACGACAGTTTCACGCACTATTAAGGACTTACGCCTGTACCACTAATCGCACATCAGACGACAAAAGATAAGTTCAAGTTGGAGGATAAATACAGCAAATAGAGCCTCTGGGAAGAGTCTCCAAAGTATTTGAGCTGTTCTCACCAGAATTTGTTGCTAAATCTGCCTTTGGTGCCTCTGCCTGGAAGTTGGGCTCGCCGTACAGGAATGCATCGTCGTCGTCCCTAGCGAGGTGCATGTTAATTATTTGCTTGCAGCCTCATGGGATGAACTAACATTAACGATTTTTGCAACCTTTCAAAGGCCCAAAAAGTCAACGACCTCGAAGTCAAAGAGAGCACCGGTTTGAAGCGTGACTTTGTGACAAGATGTGACATGCTGTGCCTTATGGCCACGTGACTACGAGGTCTACAAATTATTCAAGTCTGCTTTGCTCTGCTCGAGAGTCGAGACGGACGTTAGCCATGATCTGCGTGAAGCCTGTTATTGCTTCGTCAATACCGCGAACAGCTCGAGGATATGTCGTGTCCGTGAAGCCTCCTCGCGTCTACGAGGGCAAACCGACACCGCGTCGCTACGGTGTGCAGAAAACATTCTTATACAACCAATACACCCGCATGCTCGAAGCCAGCGATAATTCCCCCATAATATTCCTCCAACACACAAATTTCGCAACTCAGCGGCTACAGAAGCTGAGGCGGGATATAGCCGATGCAAACGCCAAGTTTTCGGTCTCATTATCCTCTCCAACGCCTTCTCCAGCTGAAAACGGTGCTCCTACGCTAGCCGTGATGCGGACCTCGCTTTTTGGCGTTGCATTACGAGACTTTGCGCCTTTAGACGCGGAACAGGCAGCTCAAGTTGCAGGATTGCTTAAAGGCGGTCTTGCTGTCCTAACGCTACCATCATTCAACCCTCCCCAACTTGACGCCATCCTCCGTGCTCTTGATCGCTCAGTGCCTCCCAAGAAACCAGGGCTTGCACAGTCAGCACCGATAAAACCTCAAGATGACCCGAATTTTATTCCTGGTAGAAAGATGCAGAGGGTGAAACCCATCTTGACCCCAGAACTAGTGGTAATGGGAGCTCTCATCGAGAGGCGGGTATTTGGGATGGAGGGTGTACGGGATGTATCTAAACTGCCAACCCTAGACACTCTGCGGGCGCAGATAGTTGGGTTGCTGAGCTCACCAGCTGTACAGTTAGCTGCAATTCTCAGTGAGGCAAGTGGAGGGAAACTTGCGAGGACACTGGAGGGCTTGAAGAAGGGACTAGAAGAGAGTCAGAGTGCAGAAGCTTCATCATAGCATCTACTCAATCATTGCTGCACCTTCTTTTGTCGACTGGCCCTACATAGTTCACACACCACGCACTTTCATAGAAGAATGGTTAATATCAGTCTTTGAGGCAAAACTCCCATGTCCGATCCTCCCCTCCTTCGCCTGTTGTACCTCGACCATGAGCTCTCTCGCCTTTTGTCATGCGGTGTTCGTATCCTTTCCACATCTCCCTGTGAAATACAAACGAACGCAGAAGTTTATAATTTGGGTTCGGCGGAGTTCCTAATGATGCAGGTTTCGGAGGGTGTCTTTGCCAATCTTGGCACATCCCTAGGGGTGAATATAAGCAGCAGCCAATTAATGATACGAAAAGTGCACTTGCCAATTGGTGTATGGTGGAACGTTGCGCAGGGTAATGAGCACCGTCCCCCTTGCGCCCTGTACTGTAGAAGGCGATGAGGCATCTACTATATCCTCATCGTCATTCACGTTGTCATCATCATCATCGTCCACAGGTCTCTTCAGTTTTCGTGACAGATTAGGCGTTGGAATGATGCCTTCTGCAAGGCAGCCAACAACAGAACGGAGGAACCCCAGGATAAGTATCTGGTTAGATAGTATATTTCTGTCTTGGTCTGTTATACCCTTTCCTTCACAATGTCTCCTCAGCCTTTTCGTTTATATGACTTGGATCTCAATAAAACATACCTGCATGAGGAAAGTTGAACACGACACGATCAAACCGTCTCCCTTTCAAAGCATTGCACTTTTCGAATCTGGTCCCATCTACACCAAACAAAACCTCTGCACCGCGCTCCCGGAGGATATCCACTTTACTTCTCGCATCAGGGTATTTATCATAACATTCCTCCTCGGAATCATAAGAAGTCGCTGTGATATTCGATGGTGGGAGATGTTTCAGCGACGAAGGTGGATCGATGACCAGTGCATGCGCGAACGAGAAATTGCCCTCGCCGATCAAGAGTATTTTATTGGTAACCGTGAATGGGATGGTAGGTCGGAGAGCTGGTGCTTTCCCCTTGCCTTTATACTTCGTCTTGAGTTCTGCAGCTTCAGCGGCATGCGCGGCTTTCTCTTTGTTCTTGAGCCGAGTCTGCTGGGATTGCAGCGTTGCTTTTAAGGATGTTTTCTTTTTGTGCCCCATGACTCTCGATTCGAAGCGACCGGTTGGTTAAAGTACATACGAAAATTATATTGATATCGAGCTTTTATGGCATTGCTCCCGAGTCAATATAACGATCTTAAATTTCATGCTCTGCCGGAGTCTGCAGAGCTGAGCGTCGAGTTTTATGGAACACTGCTATATGCATGTTGTAGTCTCTTGTTTCACCATCGTTCAACTTCAGTCCCAACAATCCCCTCCCCTCATGCCACCGTGACTGTATTCGTGTTTCAATGCAGAATACAAGTGATTGCACTGGCAGCTGTTGTACGGCTGCGCGGTCAATGTCAAGACTCAACAGGTTGACGTGTGCTTGCTTCCAGTGCTCAATGCTCATGGGTCGGGAATTCATCGCCGTGCATTTCTCTTGCAGGTGCACACCGTGACAGTCTCAGTGCTCGAATTTTTATCGGTTTTGTGCGTATTCAACCTCGTCTGACTCGGTCGTATACTCTCAAGCGAGTCGTTCACTACTAATAGTGAGATGGAGCAGGTTTTAAATAGCAGAGCAGGCCATGTAGAGAAGTGTCGAGTGACATTGCAGATGCCCCTGGTCATCGTCACCGATTCATGGTTTTCATTTTTTTCCACCTGCCATCATGTCGGATTCGAGCAGCAGGGCGTCCTGTATGATCTCTGAGGCCATTGAGCTCCATCGGGCTACACTGAAGCTCCATTACCCCAGCCATTCTGGTCTAGTCAAAGGGAAGGCGGTTAGAATAGGAAAGGAAGGCAAATTGATAGACAGCGGTCGCATCGGGCAGAGCATAGCAGAAGAGCTCGAGGAAGTCACGTGTGTGTTATTGGTAGACCTAAACCCCAAATTACGAGATGGAAGCAATCGCATCCACATATTACTTTCGACAACGCCGTGCTTGCCATTCTGCCCGTAGCGCTACCTTTCGAGTATGGTGCGACAACATTCATTCCAGCTGCAGATTTACGAAATGACGAAGCGTATGTATACCGCGACCCACACACATTCCCGACTCGCCATCGCTCTGTGAACTTGAAATACAATGCCAAAGTCGCAGTCCTGGAGTAAAGACGTCAGCGTCGGAGAGGCAGTCCTGCCGGTTTGAAGACATTTCTCCTGCAAAGCATTGCCTGATGAAAGAATCAGCACAAAAATGAACGAACAAGATAAACACAATAATGTTGTTTGAAATGAGATTTGTCGCGTTGTACCTAGTCTCACGTGCACATTACGCCACGTACCAAGTGCACCTATTAAAATTTCTTTTGTCCGACTCACACGAGCCTGGGAGGATAGGGGAGGATGCGACTAGAGCTCAGGTCCTCCGAGTCATGAGTCGGATTCTTACTCCCGTCTAACCGACGATGTTGTTACGCGTTTCGAAGTTCGGCTATACATGATGCAGGCGGTGGGCTGAGTTTACCTTTCAATCTAGTGATCTTTGACTTACATCCATGTCACAGATACTTGTAGTAGTATGTACCATGAAAAAAAAAATCCGCGTGTCTACCATCTGCCACGCTAGCAGAATTACCTCAAAATAGTTCTGCCCACGAGTGGTTCTGCCAGCAACACTGGGTCACCGTCACTCATTGAATGTCTGTACATGGCGTCAGTTTGAAGTGACGGTGATCGCTTGTACCTCGAACTTGTGATCCAGTGCCAGGGAACCAGAGTAGACTCGTGAAAGGAGCTGGACAGTGGAATGGCCCGTTGGGCAGATTTCATAAGGACCTCGTTGTAGGTCGCATAAACTATTAACTTCGGTGACAATCCAACTCAGAACTGCCTGTGGAATTTCGAAACACATCAAGGATGCAAACCCACTACCAAAGTAGCGGGGACTGATCCTCGATCGAGGCCTCCAGCCCAACTGTCGCATCTTGCCCAATCCGGTGATCTGCTGCGTCGCAGAAACTGACTGGTGACAGCACATCGCTTACTATATCATAGTATGCTCAGGACAATGATATAAGATCTCGGAGAGCAAACCGCAGAGGTCGACCCATCTGTAACTAGTATCTGTTACATGTCTTCTGGCATAATCATCCTCCTTGTGACTGCAGCCACAGTTTTCTTCTACAGCCGTCGACGCGGTAGATTACCACTACCCCCTGGGCCACCTCCAAAGCTCTTTTTCGGAAATGCCCATCAACTTCTGCCAAAGAACGAGCCTTGGCGGGCGTATGTCACGTGGGCTGAAATCTATGGTTCACATCATCCAATTTCCCGCTTGCTGCAAGACTTGCTGACCTATACCTCATAGGGCCCATATTCTCCTTCCGCGTGCCCAACCGGCAGTTCATAGTGCTGAGCTCCCTAAAAGCTGCTACTGAATTGCTCGATGCACGCGCTACTATATACTTTGATCGTCCAAAAATGTGGATGTTAAAACTTGCGAAGCGCAATCTGAACCCATTCAGTATATCTTACAATCACCCGTATTTCAAGGCGTATCGCACGGTCTTCAAGAACAGTCTGAGTACCCGCGCTATACAGAACTACCAGTCGGTTCAAAATGAAGAATGTCGTGTGCTGCTTGACGGTCTGCACAAGAACCCTGACCGTTTCGCCGATCACATTGGAAAGTAAAATTCTTTGCGATTGCTTGTTTACTCGTTTCTCATCGGAGGTGTAGGAACACAGCGGTCGTTGTCCTTTATCTTGCATACGGCTGGAAGGTCACCGATAATGACCATCTCGTTAGTTTGCTGCAAGAAGCTTTTGACTCCACTGCCGTGTTAATTCGGCCTGGACGTTGGTGGGTCGAGGGGATGCCATTACGTGAGTCCCCCTTTCATTTTCCAAGTTATTATAAAACTGAGCTATTTAACCTTCCATGAGTGCGTTTCCTACCTTCATGGTTTCCAGGGGCAGGTTTCAAACGCACGGCCATTGACTATGGCAAAAAGATGAGTAGTATTGACACAGTACCATTTAACTGGACCAAACAGCAAATAGTGAGCTTTGCTAAGCAATCTTGCGAGTTCGTGTTATCCGTAGTCCTAACCAATTGTCGTCGCCGATCAGCAAAGCGGCAGTTATACGCATTCCTTCGTTTCAGAACAGCTCCTTCCGGAGGATGGGTCCACGGTCAGCGCCCAACAAGAAGATATCACTATGCGGTGCAGTCAGGTGATTTATGTAGGGGGATTTGACACCGTAAGATATCTTTTGTACCCTCCTTTTGAAACAATCATTGGCATGAGCAGACAGCATCATCCATGAAGTCTTTTATTCTGGCGATGGTGCTTTATCCCGAGGTGCAGAAGCTTGCGCAGGCAGAAATCGATGCCGTCGTGAGTCAGGATCGATTTCCCACGTTCGAGGATAGAGACAAGCTTCCTTACATCGGAGCGCTCGCCTTAGAACTCCTCCGCTGGGCACCCGTGACTCCGCAAGGTCAGCCACATGACTTTTTTGTAGTTCCCGCTCACCCTTAGCGACGCAGGGGTCCCGCACCACGCAATGAGGGAAGACGTCTACGAAGGGTACCGCGTTCCCAAAGGTGCGGCCATCATTGTGAACCTTGTGTCCATGTCACGGAATAAAGAAATGTACCCCGACCCATTGGAACTCAGACCTGAGCGCTTCCTTGGTCCCTCACCCCAATCGGACCCTCGTAAGTTCATATTTGGGTTCGGGCGCCGTAGATGTCCTGGTGTGTATCCTTTACGTGACGCTATCCAAGCCGCCACTGAACAGTGTCATCCTTTTTTCAGGATCGCATCTTGTCGAAGCCTCACTGTACCTCAATATTTCTTGTATCCTGGCTGCATTCACGATTGCCAAACCGCTTGATGAGAGAGGGGAAGAGATCACACCTCCCCCAGAATACGAGAATATTGGTCCAGTCTGGTAACTCGTCCTTCTTTGAACCTAAAATATATCCTTACACATATATTCTTACACACCCAAAGGCACCCTAAACCATTCGAATGTAGATTCATCCCAAGGAACCAGGATCTGTTGGCAACTCTCTCGCAATAATCAGGACATCAGCGGAATTGGGCTAGCCCACACGGATTAGCATGCTCACAGTAGATCATACGTAGTGTGGTAATTATATAACTACTTCGTACTGAGGGATCGATGTGACGTCGTGAGCCTATCGGCTTACAGTCGACTTCTGACTAGGAGGAAGGGATTTGGAAGGATCTGTATCTGTGCACATTTCAAGGAGCTGCTGCGGCATTTCGTCTGCCCACATCGCTCGAAGTTACATTGCGGCTAATCCACGGACGGACATCACTGACACTGCGTGAATAATGAAGTTCAGTACGGATGATGATGGTGGGAACAGAAGATCTGACGCACTTAATACCTAGAGTATTGATATGTTCGCTGGTAACACCGGAGCCAATTGCGTGTGAGATGGACTTGAGGTCAGCAGGCAAGCCAGAGTTGCGGGGACGTCACCCCCTATGTTTGTCACTGGTGCAGTGACGCCAGCATTATGAGGCCTTCCTAGAAACTTGATAGAAAAGAAAGGTGAACTTTGGGAACAACAAGACGAGATCTGAGCTCGCTTTTTCACGCTAGTACAACACTATTGTCAGACATTTCGAGTTCTCGGTTACTTACATAATTTCGTGACGCTGCGCGGCGCGCGCAGTTGATAACGGAACCAAACGCATCACTCCATCAACACGACCCGTCAGCGCTTCAGCATCTAATCATCAGTCTTGAATATTCTGGCAGCAGTTGTATCTTCTCTGTATCATTACGACAGAAAATCTAATGAATCGCTGCTGTTAGCTTTGGCCCATCTATCGGGTACGATCTCTTTCTCAATGAACATTTTCTAAAGGTATATTCTTTTGGACAATCCGCAGGAATCCGCGCGTCGCACAAGAAAGTCTGGCAGAAGAATTTTACTGATCGCAGTCCGCAAAGGAATGGCCCTCGGATCAGTCCGGTAGTCCAGAGTCTTGATTATCATCGGAAGTAATAAACAACCTAGTCTACAGACAACATGCAGGCAATCGAGGGGACGGCAGCCGACTCAAAAGCAAAATTCCCTCCTGTTTCGGACATCATTCTTGCTCTGCAAGACATTGTGAGTACCCAGTCTCATAGGCACTCGCGTCTACATATAATGATGTTCATTTTCTTCAGCTTGCACGTTCACAAGTGCCCGTATGTCTATTCCGATATACATTAGATGTTATCTCATGATTATCAGATTCCAGACCTCGAAACCCCATACTCCCAAGTCACTTCCCCCAATACAAACTACATTGCCATCGAGCTCAAAGATCGGACCGTCATCAGCACCATCATCATTGAACGCCACCAACAGCTAGATGCAATTTTGCACGAGATGTCAGGTCTGGACACAGTCATGGATAGTATCCAAAATCTTCGTCAGAAGCTCGTCGAACAGAGGGACAAAATTGTCCAGTCCATGACTCTGCACAAGAGACTTGCATCAGCTGTCTGGCGCCTGCCACCTGAAATTTTATCCCATATTTTCATGTATTGTCTCCCGGAAGAACAATACTTGTCGCCTACGCCACAGCTGGCCCCCATGCTGCTGACAAGAATATGCAGACGATGGAGGGATGTTGCTGCGGCCACGCCTGGTTTATGGTGCAGACTGTTTGTGGACGTCGACTACAGTGACTGGCAGCCAACAACCTTCGGTTGTAATTCGTGGCTCAAGAGATCACGACAATATCCTCTCTCGTTAGCAGTAAAGTTCCTTGCAGGTGGTATCACCAACCAACGAATCCTTCTTCAACCCTACCTGAATCAAATATCGTCTTTCTTTGCATATTTTCCCTTATATTGCACCGACACTCCATTTATGTTAACAGAACTCGTGGCACTTCAGGAGCTGGTCATACATAATCTTGATTATAATCCAGCTCTTGTACTATGGATCTCGCAACTGCCACTCACCCTTCGCAGTCTCAAGATGACTGGGGCGGGGCTTAATTTCGAGCAGCTGTCTTCTTTAAATCCCACATGGCCCCACCTAACAAATGTCCATGCCAGAATACTTAAAGAGAGTCAAGTCCTCATGTTGCTCCGCCTATGTCCCAACCTCTCCTCATTAACGACTCGCATGAGACCCGGACGGCAGGCATTAGTGCCATACACGCACACCAAACTTCAATCCTTTCGCATCACGGCTCCACGCACACCCGATCGCTGTCTACTTCGCCTGATGAATGCTCTTTTACTCCCCGATTTGCGAGTGCTTGAGGCTATCAATGTAACACCGTGGCCTCACAAGGAGTTCAAGGCATTTTTGGCACGCTCGAGGTGTCCCCTGGAGACCCTGATTTTTGGCGCCGGAGTGACTATAAAAAATGACCAGCGATCGGAATACATTGCCCTCATTCCTTCCCTTGAAGTAGTAGTGGATCCTGAGCTTCCTAATTGCCATGACTTACTCGTTTTGCAGTATATCAAATATTCTTCATACCATCTAGTATAGTACGACTATAGATCTCTCCAAGCAGTCAATAATTTATGATTGACAGTCACTAACAGTTTGTGCCGTATAGCGCACGCATGAGTTGGCGTTTCTGCCGTGGAGTGAAGCAAGAGATGCTTTCGAGGCGTTAGTAAAGGAGGGCGTTGTTAAGAAGCGGTGTAGACGCCCGCCCGTGAGGGGTAGGGACAGTGGGATGATGAGACGATGAACCAGAGCCTTGTGTGACTGTCGTGTAGTGTTGATGTCCTAAGTTCACGTGACAGGGAACGACCCAATTTGTGACAACTTAGTTTTCTTGAAGCTGACTCGCCATATGATAGCGTGTCTTGTCAGCTAAGTAGTCCATAATTTATCAATCATCGTTCATATTACATAGAGCACGCACGTCATCGAATCGCAATAATGCTTTCTTCACATAGTTAGATTACAGTGGAATCTTGAGGTAAGATCAGCGTGTGGGCTTGCATTATCTACATAAGTGATGTTCGGGTGAGATCTGGGTGACCATTGTACTTGTGAACAATACTAGGTACTCCACTCCGAGTCTAGACCTGTCTTCCGATGATTGATGTGGAGCAGAGGCCGATAGGAAATGCACCTTGTACAGTGCTGTTCCTTGATTGTTAGCATAGGTAGCTTGGAGTGGGGTTTGCCCTCGATCAAGTGAGATCTTGTGCCATTGATACCTGTGAGATGCTATATGCTCTCCCTCTAGCCTTAAATCAGACTACTTCATCTGTATAAGGGCTAGAGGGATGCATCCTGCGCTGTTCTTGGGACATTACTCAGGAAAAAGGTTAGCTATGGGCCTGGGTGCTACCCCTCTCGATCTTTCCATCTGCTGATAGCAGTGGAGAGGATGAGAGGAATTGGACACAGAGCCATTTATTAATATTGGCACTGGGATCGAGAGGACGACCATGTCTTTATCCTTCTCAACCTTTCTTTCTGCTCATTGTAGAATGAAAGGATGAAAACGATTAGACTTGGAGTCATCTATTAATATGCGAATCGGAAATAAGACGACGATCAGTGTGGTTTGTTTGTCTGGATGTAGCATACTGCTCACTTGTTGGTATGAGGTTAACGTACTTGTCTGTTATTGCACTCAAGTACTGTGCAACATGCATATGTTCGAAAACACATCCTGAGTGCTTGGTTCAACGAGCTCCATACTAGGCTTGACCTACTGCTCCTGCTTTCAGGGCTCGAGTCACATCGACAAGCCCAGCACCATCGGATATGACGGCCATTGCAGCACATATTTCGTATCAATTTGAAAAGCGGGCCCGTGTGACATTATTTGTCGATAAGCCTTTAGACTGATCTTGAAGATCGTAGACGCGATTGACATTGATATCGTATCACTAGGATGCTTCAAGACTCGATTGATTCGGCGGATCTGAGTAGTCGTGCTCGTCTATGACATTCGAGGACACGTTCGCGGACACAGACTCCAAAGGGCTTTCTCTGTCTCCGGATCCAAGTAGCCTACCATGCACCATGTTCGATGTCAGCTGCCAGTCGTATCGACCGCTCAAGCGCTCTGATCTGTCCGGTGCTCCTCGATCGTTAACATATAGAGTCAGGAGCACTTTCAAAGGACGACAGCGGTGTTTGGCGAGCTGCAGCAGAGATATTTTGGCGGTTTATAGTAAGCAGTGATAAGTGGTCCAGGTCAAGTAACAAAATACGGTTGTTTGGATCTTGTTTGGATCCCAAGCTTTCGCCAAACAGCCACTTCCCTTTTTGGACTGACACGTACTTAAGCTTAAGACTAATTATTGGTTCTTATCGACATCACACATACACCTGTTCATACTTATTCTCTTCTCCGAGTACCACACCACTCTTTCATCTTTGTTAAATTTGAATCAATGGTGCTTGTGTCGAAACCTTGTTTTTATGTTGATCCTGACGCAACGTGCTCATCTAGCCTACTGAATTTGACCTGCGAAGGAAGAATGCTCAATTCGCTAATGCAGTCCGGTCGGGCAAGAAAGCAGTGAAGCCTTCACACCAGGAGATAATGGCAAAAAGAAGTCCTATCAGCCTCTGGGCTCTGGGCGTCGTCCTGTTTGTTGTTATAGGTGGTGGTGAGTACAACCTGCCTTAGCGTGCTCATTCTGAATCTGACAATGCTGCAGTGTTATTTGAACTCGCCAGATTGGTATTCCTGTAATGCGCGGACACTCTGAGGAGGGCAATATATACACAAGACACTACTCCATGCCGTCCGCAGCTAGCATTTTCGAAAGGGCATACGTTACAAATATTGTATTCACCATGATCAACTTTGGATTCCATCATCGTTCCTCTTACACCGAACACTCAACTATCCTCTACTTCCACATCCACGCCAGAATTACTAACGCTGGCGCTGATACTCATACTTTGGCTGCGTGCACTGTTGGCGCCACTAGCTGCTACCCGCTTTGGAAGGACCAACTTCAGGAACGCTTTCGACGCCTTCCATAGCGTCGCCTTCGAGTTCCTTCTCATCGATCTTGACTTCGTCGCCAGCCCAGATACGCATAGTGGGTTGCCAGACCATCACTACGTTATCTTCTGAAGTGGTAGATGCAGTCCAGTTCTCGGATTCTCCTGGTGCCCAGCAAAAGTCTGTGGGACGTGCGGTATGGCCTGCGACCAACCGAGTATCATGATCTGAGCAAGGATACGCGCAAGTGTGACATACCTCCGTGAATGAACATGAGCTCCGGTGGTCCATCTTCCTGGTCGTCTGGGGACTGCTCCACACCAATCTGGTCAAGATCCCAGATGTTGATCCTTCTATCTCCAGAAGCAGATGCAAATACTGTAGAAGAGTGGGGAGACCATGCGAGATGAAGCACTTCGTCCGTGTGTGACTCGAAAGTGTGCAATTTTTTAGTAGGCGATCTGATATCGTGCAGCACGACGGTCTAGATGACGCTGAAATAAACTCCACCCACACGAGTGATTGAGTGCACACGTACCTTGTCTGCGCTGCCGGTGATTATGAGATAATCGGATGATGGGCTGAATGCGCATGATAAGATTTCCCTATCGTGTGCTTGAATTTTCGTCGTAGCTTCGGTTGGAGCTCGGGTGTCCCAGCTGAAGAAGCAATGAAGTTGGTTGGATGGAAATGCAAAAAAATCGCGCTTACATTAGAAGCATCTTGTCGTCTCCCACACTAGCAAATACGTTTTCCTGGGTCGCATGCCAATCTACGTCCTTTTCAACGAAGTAGTTAGTAACTTGCTTGCAAACGTGAAGGATGGCACGAACCCCGACAACAGAGTTGTGCCCCTTGAAAACAGTTGTCGGCTCGATGGTGCTAGTGCCCTTTGTATAGGAGTTTATATCCCTGGAGAACATCAGCAACGAGACCGTGCCCGAAGACGTTCCTCTCACCAGTGGCATACCGTCATATCCTCTGAAGCACCAAGAATATGTCCGCCTTTCACCGGGTTCCAGGCCAAACCAAACCTGCCCGCAATAAACCTTGGATACGTCCCGATCAATCAAATCACCCACCCTTCCTTCGTCTGCCCGACCAATCTGATATCAGGTTTACAAACACCCCCTCTCGGAGGCTCGGACGAATGCTTCGTCCGATCAAAAATAAGCACCTGTCCCGAAATAGCTTTCGTCGCGAGCAAATCCGGGTTCTGCGGCATATACCGCGCACGATTAACCTCTCCATCGTGGTTGAATTTCTGGGTAATTTGGATGCGAGGCTGGGGAGGGATGGTGTGTCCGCCGAGTTCACCGCGTTGTTCGTCGTAGTTATCGCGGTCGAGTTTTTCGTCGCGTTTGGGGATTTGGACGGTTGCGATTTGGAGGTAGTCTTGGGCTTGGCCGGAGGTGTGGGTTCCAAGGAGGAGGCGGTGGCTTGTGTAGGGCTTGTTTGCCGGTCTTTTTGCTAGATCAGATGAAGGTTAGAAGAGTGCAATGGTGTGCTTACGCGTCTTTGTCGGGGAACCATTGACACGTTAGACTTGGCCAGTCAAGTGCGTGCGTGATAACTAGGTCATATAGATACGGTGCGTTCTTTTTCCTGTGAAGGTGTTATGACTTGGAAAAGCTTTCAGTAAAGTAGGATTATCTACCATGTTTTATACTCCTGAAAAATGATCATCCTGCTAAATTGGAGGAAATTTTGGGGATGCAGATTGTTAACTGACCTCGTTTATGAGTTTGTTCTCCTCCTCAGCTGCGAGATCATCTTCCATATCCTCGTCCTGAACGGTGGGCTTCATCTCAGATAGTAGGTTGTACGGGGTGGATGAACGGAGTTGTGTGTAGCAGGTTTGGGTCAGTCGAGAACACGATGGAACAAAGGAGGAAGATAACAAGGCGCGTCGCGTGCCGCGCCTATGGATTATGTACATACACCTCCCAAACAGTATCTCGTTTTAAGCGCTATCCGGCGCTACGTCTGCATATCACCCAGTCATTCAAATTCGTTCATAAGACTAAGTTAAACGCGTCTCGAGCAGCACGGACAAACTCATTAGAGCAGCTCGAATGATATTGCTCATATGCCAAATTTACGTCTGCCACAAGAGTGATGGCAGTGATCTATAGGTATAGTTGACGGAGGAAAGGGCTACACGACCATTATAGATCTTTCTCCCATTTGGCAACGAGCTTCTCGAGGTCAAATCGTGGGTCTTCTGGGTTCGTGATAACTAGAGTTCAAAGTTAGTATACACATAGGAAACGCCCATAAGATGCGAAAAAAGAGGACGAAACACATTCCACAAGGGCTATGAAATTCGACATAGGAAAGTATTACGGACGCGACTCACCACCATCCGACCCCTTTGCACTCTCTTGCTTGTGTCTCCATGCATCCTTTGCCTGTGCTATCAACTGTTCACGTTGATGTATTGCGTGGTGTTCCTTGTCTTGGTCATGGGTTTTTTGCAGTGACCGACGGTGGTAGATGCCGTAGAAAACACCTGAAAGGAGAGCACTGTAGCGAGCAACCTAGTTCATAGCCGCTTGAGTTTAACAGACTGTAAATACGAGGAACGGCGCACGTTAAGTGTGGTGGACATTGTTCGACCCTTTTTTAACTTTCAATATGAAAGTTAATTCTAAGAAAGCTTTATATAATGAAATGTTAGCGGGCCAAGCAGATTGAAAGCGAGGAGCACTAACCTGGAGTGTGCTTATAGAAAAGCTGTTATGCAAGTTTCAGCGGAGCAAGTCGGCGTTTCCCGCTGACGTAATTCTTCCGTGCGGGGGAAGGTGTCGTGTTTAACAGTCATCCATATCCTTAGGTTATGACTGATCATGCATATGTCCCGCTCTTGCAAGGCAGTTGTTTCTGCCAGGCCGTTTCATATGCCGTTTCTGCTCATCCAATTTTGAGCGCGTATTGTCACTGTACGAGCTGCCAGAGATTGACTTGTAAGGCGGAACCACGTCGGTTTGGATGAAGAGTAATAATTTTCGAATTACAGCGTGTCCATTCATTCATACAATGCATTTCGACGCTTCTGCATTCACATGGACACATCCAGAGCCCCACGAGTCTCAATTAGACTTCTACGACAATATCCTTAAGCCATACAAGCGACGGTATAGGTGCAAGACCTGCGGCGTTGGGGTTGCATCCCACAACTATAATACCAACCGCGTTAGCATATGGGGCGCGACTTTGAATAGGAATGAGGATGGGAATATAGTCGGCTGGGATATTGCCAAGCCGACTGCTCATCAGTTCTATGGAACACGGATGCTGGATGTTAACGATGATTTGACTAAATGGGAAGGATATGAATCGAATTCAGATAATCTGAATTAGATACCATTGAGCTCGTTGTCCACAATTGTATCAAAGTGGATGTGGAAGTGGTCTCGGCGCTCCGAGTTGCCCGAACTAACCACGGCCACAGCAAAGTTCAATATATATTGTACACGGCTTGACCTTTCTCTTCTACCATCAGTTACTCACCACGCCAGCGCTCACGACCAGCAGCACATTTTTTGGTAAATTTTTCCAGGATAAAACATGGACGAAGATGTAGATATGGACGCTCCTCAGATTTCAACTCTCAGGGAAGATACCACTCCTCCTCCGCCCTCTCGAACTTCCAAATTCCGAGTAAAGTTACTGGTAACCGAGAAGAAGGGCAAGGGCAAGTCGTCCTCACCTAGTGTAGCAACTACCAACAAGAAGGCTGTTCCACTACCACCTCCACCCCCACCCCCACCGCCTGCCCCGCAGGCACGTGCGCATAGTGATGATGACGTTGAAGAGGAGGACGAGGAGGACCAACTCATTGACGACGAAGACGAATTACAACAGTCTGTTTCTACCCCTGCCATTACTGGTGGTACCAAGCGGAAGGCGCCAGCAAGGAAGCCAAAACCACGGAAGAGTGAAAAGCAGGACAAGGACCTCGACAAAAAACCCCATGGTAAGCCCCTCTTCCTAATCATCCGAATTCTATTAAACGGTACGAACAGAAACAGGCGAGGAAGTCGATGCGCAGGATGTCAGTGCACCCGCAGTTGCTGATAAACCCCCTCCGAAGAAAAGAGCAGCACCCCGCAGGCCTGCTGCTGCTCAACGGTCCAGAGCCAAGGCACCTCCCAAGTACGTAAACCAGAGTTCAAAATATATCAATAAATCAATACTTCTCAGGGCGGCGAAGGTCTTGGTAGTGCCTTCGTTGGATGAAGGAGCGCTGAGTGAATGTAAGTACTATCTTACTTCCCATGTACTTTATATTAACTCGGTTTGCATCAGCATACGCTGGAACCGCACCCTCATCACCACTTCCTCCTACTCGTGAGGGGGGTTCGGAACATGAGGACGCAGAAAATGTTCCTCCCCCTCTAGCCGAGGGTACAACAGAAATTGCACCCCTCCCTGTCTACCCTCTACCATCCAAACCATTCCCAGTGCAACCACCCCCAAAGATTGGAGCAGGCTTCGCACCCATGTTACCCCTCGACCGAAGCGGAAACAAAATCCGTCGTTGGAGAACCGCAAACCGTGAAATACGGGGCATTGCAGGCGGGCGATGGTTCGCTAGAACATGGGTTGGTGATAAAGAGTCTGAATATGCCAATGCAGCCGCAGCTTCACATAAAAATGGCGATACAGACAAGATTACGACGCCGAAAGGCGGCGGCTCGATATCTGCGCCGTTACTTGGAAAAGGGTCTAGCAAATCTAAGGTGGCCCGTGCTATGTCGGGCATATCGGCTGCACCTTCACGAGCAGGGTCTATTATTGCTGATCATCACCCTGTGAAAGCGCCTTCGAAGATGCGTAATATTGTTGCTGGGCCGGCGTCTGAAGAAGGCAATGATGCTCCCGTACAGAACACGCCAGAACAGATGGAGTCATAGATGGCTTGTTTCATGTAATTATGTTTTGATTATGTTTTGTACTTTTTGGATTAATGTTATACCTTACTATACTGTTGTCCATGCCCTTCCCTTTATTAATATGATTGGTTTTTGCGCAGTCTCCGATGCTGTGTGACAGGCTACTTTGTGTGACAAAGCTGTGACCATGACATCGACCTTAATTTGGTACCACTGCTAATACCGTATACGTAGCTTGCAACGTTCAGTCTCGCTGAGCGCGCTCTCTACTCGAGTTCGCGGTCTGTGGTGCTTCGTAGGAGGCCATTTGCAAGGCCAGAACACACAACCATACATCAGCCGCGTCTCAACCAATCATGTCCAGCAAAAGCCCTACTATTGCGCAGACTAGCACTGGTGGAATCCCAGGCACGAATGCGGCTGCGGTACTAGACCCTACGAAATCGAGGACCAGGGAGAAATGTACGCATTCATGCAGGTTACGATGGTCTGTATTCGAATGGCTGACTCGTTACAGTGCATCAAACATACGTTTCTGATCCAAAATATAAGAAGTACACGCAACAAGTGGAGAAATGTCTCAATGCATTCGATAATGTACACGAGTGGGCAGATTGTATCGCGTTTCTGAAGCAGTTGTTGAAGGTACTTTCTTCTGCCCTGAGTTGAAAGCATTCATTCAGCGCGGTTGCGCTCCCACAGACATTTCAATCATATATGCAATTCAAGGAAATCCCGTACAAGCTCATTGTTGCTAAACGGTTGGCACAGTGCTTGAATCCTGCTCTACCGACTGGCGTGCATCAACGTGCTCTGGATGTTTATACGCATATACTTTCTGTGCTTGGAGTGAGTGCAACGTGGTCATTGTGGGTAACCTCTCATGTGTGCGCGATGCTAGACGGAAGGCCTAAAACGGGACCTGCCGTTATGGTCGTCCGGCCTATTCCCATTCTTTGAATATGCTGCTACATCAGTCAAGGTGTGACGTTATCCATGTTCTGCTTCATCCAGTACTGATTGAGACAGCCAATACTGCTGACAATATATGACACGCATTACTTGCCTTTACAAGCTGGTCTGCGACCTGTGATGAAGTCATTTATCCTTGCTCTGCTTCCGGGTCTTGAAGAGGAGACTGGGGAGTTCTTCGAAAAGGTATGTTACTGTTACATTTCACAGATCTGAGCGTGGTTGATGCAACTGGTATAGGTGTTAAACCTACTCGACAGGCTGTCAGGAACCGTCTCCCCCGTATTCTTTATCCAGAACATATGGCTCATCATGATAACCATGTCCTCTGCACGTGGAACCGCTCTGAACTTCCTCTCTCGCCGACTACCTCGATTACACGCGGACGAAGGTAAGGCTGATTTTCAATATGATCTTCCACTGCTCAGTATTCTTTAGATATAACTCAGATAGTAGGTAGAGATATAGGGCTTATGATCCGTGCATTCGCAGCTGCGCTCGAGGACGACAATTTATTGGTTCGAAGAGGCGCGCTTGATATTCTTTTGCAGTCGATGCGTATCGATAGCGCTGCTATCAAACGAGCGCATTCGGAAGACACCGTCATACTTATGAGAGCTGCGACTGGTGTAGTCCTACGCCGGGATCTGTCACTTAATCGACGGCTTTACACTTGGTTACTGGGTCCGGACGAGAAGAGCGACAACCAAACCGTGTACCTGCGACAACATGCTCTTCAGCTATTGAATACCACGCTCAAGGTGGGTTGTAATTCAGGATGTGTCGAGACTTTGATAATAATAATTGTCATTAGGATGAAATGTTTGCGCCTTCAGGAGAATACTCCGAATCTCGGCCATTCAAGATCTTTATTTCGCTGTTGGACAAGTGGGAGATAGGATCAGCCTTGACTGACGTTCTTGTATTGGACGCTCTTAAGGCAATCCGATTTCTGATGCAGCGGAACGCGGAGGAACGTAATGAGGATGTACGTCCTATTTCTTAGTGTTTGAGGCATGAGTATCTCTTATATCTTTTTCAGATTTCTATGACTGCCAGTACGCTATACGAGGCTGTCGAGCCCAGTATTCTTTGGAAGCAGTTACTGGCAGCAATAATGAAAGATTTGACCGAAGACAGCAAAACTGGGGTGAGCTTCGCTGCAACTCGGCCTCGGGTAGCGCAAGCTCACACTTTCTTCAGGCAATTGACTTGACCTTATTCCTACTGCGTTCACTTCCTATGCAAGATGATGAAGTTCGCAGCATTCACCTACCAGTTATTTTTGCCGCCATAACGGAGGAGCTGCAGGTGCGACCGCTATCTCTGGGATCTGATATAGAAGCTGACCCATGACACAGCGTAAAATAAACAACGACCCGTCCACAGCTGCCGGAGCTGTCCGAGAATGTTTGGCTCTGCAAGAGGAAATCTTCCAACACATACCTCTAGAGTCTCTCAGTCGGCAGCCCGGGCTGAATGCAGCACTTCAGACATCAGCTTCGTCTCTCAGCTCACTCGCATTCGCCTATGCATTTTACGGACTTGAATTCACCGAATCGAATTCGAGCAGTGCGGTGCTTAATCCTTTGATCGGTGTTATAGAACATATGTTCTGTATAAGTCAAGCGCTGTCACGATCAATCTCGGCTCAGCAAGGGGGCTCGATAGAACTTCGAGCGGCATTGTCACAGGTGTTGCGGGTCTTGTCGGGCGTTATCCATACGGTGGACAGAAGTTGCGATACAACTCTCAGTCTGCCATGGAAACCTTCTGAATGGTTGTACTCTATGCTCAATTGTCTTGACCTTGAGGTATGTCATGTAATGATCTCTGGTTACTGGTTGGGAAACTTATCTGTCTATCTTCAGGCCGTCAGTTTCACCTTGGTGGACCAGGTAGTGTCTTTGATATTGTCTTTGCATGGTGCGCAGAAGCTCAGCCCAAAGCTGTCGATGGATAAAAGACCCGTCGTTAGTCGCATGGTGAAGAAGGTTCGCACGTCTGACTACATTTGGAGTTGATCTGATAGGACTTGTATTCATAGCTTTTTAGATACCTCCACGCAGACCTGGCTACTTGTCATGTGCGAGCTGTGAGCCTTATATGGTCCATAGAATCAACGTCACGACCCCATGAAGTTGAGTCGATAATAGCTCAGAGCATGTGTTCTCCTGAGTCGAGAAACGTCTACGAGGCGCACGAGGCTTTTGGAGTACTTTGGCGACTGTCAGGTAAGTGAACATGTGTCATGCCATTATCATGCTGACTGAACTTTCTTAGAGGATGACTCGCTTCCTGGAGTGCGCTTGAAGGTGCCGTTGATGATAGTTTTGGAGACCTTGAAGCATGATGATCCAAGCCTGCGGCGCGTTGGAGAAACATGGATGCGATGTAATTTGAGGTCGTATATCAGGTAATGCTACTTTCTGATCTATTGGCCGGGTGGAAGGCTTACACAGATCGAAAAGGGTCTTGGAACCTGTCCTCCGCGACCTTCTTGACCCTTCTATCCGTCGAATATCCAGAGTTAGCAGAGTGAGCGGCAAAGAAATCAGGGGCTTCGTTTACGAGAGGTCGTTTGACCAGCGTTATGTCGCTCACCTTCTCGAGATCTTACTCTCGGTCGTCCAGTTCGGTGGTCAAGGTTTTTCCAAGTCTGCGCGCGGCACTTTCCTTAGGCGTTCATATGACCATGTGCTACTCCATAGGCTTAGCTTAGGTAATGGCATCGATGCTGTTTTGCCGTTGTGGTTTTAACGATTTGCCACCAGCCGGGATAGACGCCAATACAAGCTACCTGGATGCACTCATCGAGGTATTGTCAAGGTGAGTTACATTCCCTAACTCGTCATTGCGCTTCATTCTCGTGCAGGTTCCTTCAGTCCGAACCCAAAGATCAAGATGCTCCAGTTATGCAACCACTAAACACGGTCATACAATCCTCCGCCATAGACCTTCTCCAAACCATTGTTGCTCGCGGAGAGATTGAAATGCTCGCCATTGAAGTTCTCGAACCAGCGGTCATTGGCAAACTTTTCCTCTGCGTCCATCTACATCGGTTGGACATACAAAACAAATTACTGCGGTTCCTCCACTCCATTATATCCGCCTCGACGTCATACGCCTGCAACGGGCACTCGCCTCCCGAGGACCGAAGTGCAGAAGGCTCGCAGGAATCTGGGAAAAGGGGTTACACTGTCAACTCCCTGCTGACACAAACCATCATGGATGGTATTGCGATCCCGCGGAATCGTCCCGTAATGCAGCACTGGTTAGATTTCGTGCTGATGGCGGTTCCCCAGTTCCAACCTGCCCTTCAGAGCGTCGTTTCTCCTATTGCTGATTGTCTTTGCCGGCAACTACGCTCGCTCCTCTCAGATGCACTAAAGGCGAATCAGCCAATGGCTAACGGGAGGTATCCTCGGGTTGCGACTGATGCTGAGTTCATCATGCTCCTCAATGCGCTCGAGCGGTTACTTGTGCTTGGTTTGACTCAAAAATCGGATGCTAATTCACAAGAGGATGACACTCCAGTTCAGGAAAAACCTGGAACTGAGTCTGGAGGTATCTTGGGATACGTCTCGAATGTCTTCACTACAGACAATGCATCTACTGCTGTCGAAGGTCAGCTGACGGCGAGTAATTTGACGATGTTTCGTTTCTAGTCTACCACAGCTGACAGTCGTACAGTCACACTCACCTGGGTACAAATCTCTCCATGATGGTATCCGTGTATTGCTTGCAATATGGGTCAATATGGTATGGTATGACACCACCGGCCTGCGGCCAGAGGCAGATTCGCTGTCCATGATTTATAATCGGACACATGCTCGTTGTCGAAGAGTCCTGGAGCACCTATTCCGCGCTCACCCTACGGAAGTGCTAGAGTCCGTCATTGAATGCTGGGATCGTGATGCATTGCTACGCTCCAAGGGCTCTGACCAGCCTGCGACAGGTGTCTTCGGCTTGATCGATGTCTTGATCGCTAGTGCGCAAAGCGCGGTGCACATGATCTGCGACAGTATATCAGTTCGTATTTCCAACACCTCGGAGCGCAGTAGGAAACCCGCAAATGCGAATCTGTGAGTTTTCTATCAACTCAGTGGATGAGTGGACTACCGAACATGTTACTTGACAGATCCGATGTCGTCCTATTCAACTTCTTGGAGCAATATTTCCAACGGCTTGAAGGGCCCCTGGCTCTTCAAGTATGGGGTCGATTTATACAGCTCGCGAAGGACCTGGCATCAAGTCGGGATTTCAAGATCCAGGTCTTCTTGGCCCTGAAGTGTGTATTTCTCAAAATCATTATTCGCTGCTCACTGTTTATCAGGTGCTTATGCGTTTTAGGTGACAAGGTTACTCAGACCACTGCCATAGACGACAAGCGCATCAGGAAAGATCTCCAGGTCCGGTACTTTAAAGCTATTCTACGAGTTGAGGTCTGCTCACATCCATTCGTAGGAGACGTTTGGAAAGCTCCTTGATGCATGCGTTACTTTCGTGGGTAAATCGACGGATCAACCAAATTGGATGAGACGTACCACGAAGGAATCGATGGTCACGAATGGTCGATCCTCCCCTGCTCTTCGTGGTGGTGGTTAGTTATTCACTTGTTACTACTTTCTCTGCCATCTGATCAGTCTTCAGTCTCAGACATGAAGCCTGACGAGAAACCCGATTCCAGTACTGTCACGCTTTCTGACAATGCCAAGCCGACTTGGGGAGCAGAGTTACCCTCACAGGTAAGTTGCTTGTTAACCGCCAGAGGTCTTGTCAGTTGAGATTGTTTATCAGATCACCGCATTCATAGCGTCAACAGCTGTTCCTGAACTGCGCCGGTTTTTGATGGATAACGACAAGGTAGCGAGTGCTTGTAGCAACATCGTATATTACATCGTGAGCCCGGGCATCAAAATGAAGGCCAGGTAAGCTTTACTCTTGACGATAGATGTCAAACTCTCTCAACCCAATGAAGGCCTCTGGATGCTGATGTGGTTGTGGTCGATATCTTTCGGGAGATGATCAAAATCCCTCCTGCGATGAAGGTTTGGCGGGTGGCAGTGATCGATGTCCTTTACGATCAACGCATTTTCAACTCGAATTCCAACGTTGCTACGAAGTGGAAACCCATCATCAAAGCAGTATTTGATGGTGATAAAACTTCTTTCCCTGACCTTCTTAGTAAATGCACATCATACATTTCATCTAGCACTACTGACTATGTACTTTAGGCCGTGTTGCTACGTCGCCCTCAGCCAATATCTTCACGAACCGAGAGCATGAGATGCTTCTGCGATCGTTGAACTTGCGACGGCTTGCATTGGTCCTCTTCACAGGAGAGAAAAATCATTTCTTAACCCAGCTTCCGGCTATACAGGAGAAATTGGTGGATATCCTGCGCAATGTTCCATCTCCGATTGTTCAATGTGAAGTCTACCTTTGCATACGAGTGTTGTTGTGCCGCCTGGCTGCACATAGCATGACGAGCTTTTGGCCCGTGATTCTCACTGAACTAGTAAGTCGAATATCTTGCATATCTTATTTGAAACCTGACATGAATTCCAGTACCGAATATTTGAGCAAATAATTGATTCGATACCTTCAGATGGCTCAGAAGATCTACAGCTCATCCTTTCAGCCAGTAAATGCCTTGATTTGCTGCTTACCCTTCAGACAGAAGAGTTCCAGATGTACTGTCTCCTTCTTCGTGTCAGTATGACTATTGACAAATTACAGACATCAATGGATATTCATCACCGATACTGTGGATGCCGTGTTTCGCCCCGACGATTGGTCCCCAGAATCGATGTTTGACCAGCTCGCTGAAGTAGTTGGCAGTTTGCCCATTCCAGAGCCTCGAGTATGTCATCTTCTGACTATCTGAACATTCATCATCTGAACCGTACTAGGAACCACGAGGCATTGGGCTATCAACGTCAACATCAACTTCCCTTGCTTTCCCTACCCATTCCGATCGTGCTTTACGGAAGCCCATACTAAGGTCAATCCGTCAGATTGATTCGATTCGGGACCTTTTTCCATTCTTCTCTCATGTGAGTATCTCATCTTACGAGAGCGTATATGCAAGTAGTGGGAACATCGATTGGGAGGCGGTTGAGCAGGGAGTTTTGGACGATATGTTCGACGGCCGTTGAGGATGAACCGTTTCTTTGGTTGTCTCTCTAGGATGTACATGGGTTCTATTCGCTGTTCTATACGCAAAGCATGGGTATATATAGATGCGAATGGATTCCTAAGGAAAGCAGCGGATAAAAATCAGCAGATATCTCGTTAGAAATCTCCCCAATTCCGTCGGAATTTATACTGCACACGTTCCTATGAGTTAGCGCCTCCATATAACTGTCGAGGAGGCTCAAACCGTACCTTGTATGGGAGGTTCTTCCTGTAACGCAGGATGACTGGTTAGAACGAATGTATCGAGATTAAACGTGAAACTAACCTCATTTTCTCTACCGGCGTGTTAGGTTGCTTGTAGCCTTGTTCTCCGGTCCCCCATTCTGCCTGGCTGTTACTCTCCTTGCCAATATCTTTATACTTGACCACTGGATCCTGCTTCTCTGGCGGGACTCCGCGAGTGATTTTGGGCGGTGGCGCGCTCTCAGCGAGGGGTGCACGAGCTGCGGGAGGCTCTTCATGTGCCCGAATGGCTTCCTCAACAGTGATTCCTTGAAATTTGGCCTCTCGTTCTGCTTCTTCACGTTCAATAGCTGCGTGCTGTGCAAAGTGTTCGACGTCTTCGGAGTGGATGTATGATTCATCGGTTTGCGTCTCAGGCGTCGAGTGATATTGTTCTGAAACATCCTTTGAGCTACAGATCGCGAGAGCATGCATTGTACACCAAACAAACCTTCGTGATGTAAGAAAAACTCTTGTTGCGAACTCAGTAATAATTATGACGCAGGGTTGGTTAACACTCACCGCTTTCTACGTCGTAATGGTGTCCCTCTGCGCCTATGTCGTCAAAACTCGGCAGGCCACTTGTCCCAACAGCAGCAAACTCCTCTGACGTGACCTTGCCGTCACCGTCCTTGTCCACGAGCTTGAGTACAGTATCTGCAACGTGATCAGCCTTCCTCTGATGTTCAATGTCGTCCTATCATGACGTTAGCACATGATAAGCGCAGGAGGTTCAGCTACCAGACCTTCGACTTTTTCTGTGAGTACGCATGATGGACGCCGTATATTGCCTCAATTTCTTCCCTGTCCCATACACCATCTCTAAAGGAAAAAAGTACGTGTCAATGATATTCTGCCTAGGTTGTGTTTCATTACCTGTTCAGATCATGAAGCTGGAAGAAACTCTCCGTGTCGAAGGAGTCACTGCATCATCTTATTAGAATAGAACGTTGTGACATCTCTCAGTTGCGCACATATGGTGTTCTGTAGCCATCTACCAACAATGAAGGATCAGCACCAGTCAGGATTGATGTGGGTCACCCATACATGTCGAATGGCGTAGCCTGCATTAGCGGTCTCTTCTGAGTCTTCATGGCCGCTATGTGCTGATACGAGTAACACGAAAAGAATATGAACAGAGAGTGCGGTCAAGACTTTCATGGTAGGGCGGAACTCGTCTCACAGGTAACCGTAACTTCAAAGTTCTCCAATTGTTGTAGCAGGCAGGACCCTCGACACCTCATATACGTACTGCCATTTGGACCCCGTAAAGTCTGTTACGAACGCTACTCTAGTACTATTAATAGTACTCATATATTCCACGATCTGACGCGTGCAATTTGAATACATGTCTCTACTCGTTGCTGGTGTCCGGCTGGCGTATCCCAGAGTCATGTTCAACATACGCGGGAACGGCCTTCCCGTCAATGACATCCATTCAGCCCTGTTAATGTAGAATCTCGTTGGCTTTGGTCCACTCGATACCTTTTTTTCAGAGTCCCAACTACTCTGCTACTCTCCACAGCATCTATGACACCCCATTATTTTCCCGTACGAGATGTGGTAACTATGGTCGCGCCGGTAGCAGTGGTGTCGAGGATGGTTTGTGTTGCTGTCAGGCATTGCGTCACCACTAGGTCATATCTGCACACTCTGCCCGTCATAGGAGAAGTTCATAAGCTGTTTGATATTGTGGGAGTCTGGGCTCGGATTGTTCCAGCAGCTGTGAAGAGGATCGTGGCGTACTCTGGGATGTATATCAGGTGTGTAGTAGTACCACAGAGGCATTTAATCATTCTCTAAACAGTGGTGATTTCATCATCTTAGACGTTCGTGATTCTCTTGCTAATCATACACAAAACCGACTGTGGAATAAGACATCTATAGCCTATGAAGAGTCTGTACTACCTTCAGATCTGTACTCTGGTTTGGGTATGCAATCTCGTGCTTTGTATACTTTGACCGATACATCTAACATGTGTAAGGGGTCCCGAAACGTTTGATCCCTCGGAAGCAATTCACATGCATGCTCCACCTGAGCTCCGCATGCACTCCATTACGCTCACTGTTCGTGTGCACTCGGCAGTCTCCTATTTACGCCGTGCGTTGTTCGCTTATCTCCCTGTCTCTACTCCACCTTTTCCAATGCGTGTTTTCTGAGCTCCATATGCGATCGCTCATTTCTCTCCTAACTACACTCCTGTTCTTTCACCACCGTGGCTTCCGTGTGCTCTTCGCACGGCATTGTGAGTATCCAAGATGCTACTAGTACTTCTCTTTGGAGCCGAGAAAAAGGTTTTGGAAGATGGATGGGTTTGTGCCGGTGTCTCTTGATCCAGAAGACAGCATTGGAGATCTGTCTTCATTTTCAGCGGCAAGAACGCGCTACCCGAGGACAATAACAAACTCCAGTCTACCTTGCGATGTTAACTTATCCAAACACGCCTCCCCATCGATTGGATCTCAAAGTGAACGCTGTATGCGCAATACAATGAAACATGTCCGTCAAAAACGGATTAATACGAAATGCACGAGTCCATATCACTGCTCTTCATCGAAGATTCATTGATGTAATGCCTCATACCGGAGAGATACATTTTCTTCTTCGCATTACTTTCTCTTTCAATCCAGCGCATTCTGGCTGAACCACAAATCACAAACAATTTTTCTTGCAACCCGCTTACGCGACAACATTCAATGTATGTCAAGGACTAACGCTCCAGAATTTAGCTGTGCTTGACCTCCGCAGATTTGCTCGCACACAGACAGCTATGTGACATGGCACTTTCACTAGGAATAGTACGATGTCGATCAGACATTCGAACGCTATTTTCAAGAGAAGAGGAGAAGACAATAGCAAACGTAGAGTACAGAAATCTCTTATTGTAATTCACAGTAGCAAATGTCTTGTACGGTCACGGTGGAGCTGTTGAACCTTTCCGTATAGCTTCGCGCTTAGTAAGCTGCTAGTGATATTGCAACTTAGACTAGAGTCACGACGACCAGAGCCATCATCGGTCCTCTCGTTCTCAAGTTGTTCTCAGAAATTAATTTGGATGCATCCTCGTAATCCGTATAACAAACCTCCTGATTTTGCTGAACTTGCGAGGCGCTACCCTCCCCTCAGACCACAGTACGCGTTCATCAGGCGACAGCGTCAGAGAGAGATACTGAAATTATCCAGTGTCTTCATCAACCATACAGGATCAAGTACGATAAATTTCAAAAGCCCTCCTGCACAAAAGTGAGCGGTGATAAATGTATGTCGTGATATACTAATGAGGGCAGGCGTTTAACAGAAGCACTCCTTCAACTTGACTATGGCCTTTCATTAACCCTGCCGGACGATAGACTCTGCCCTCCAGTGAGGCTTGTTGTTGCACACTTTTATTTATCTCACACCAGATGTACATTAGGTTCCAAACAGGTGCTTTCACCTTTTAGAGGATCGATGCAGGAAGGCTAAAATACGGGAAATCTAACATACAGATTAAATTATGTTCTTTGGCTACAAGACATAGTGAAATTCACTTGCGGTTCTGCCACTGTCAGAGGGCTTGACATGTGCGTCACATTATCCATGGTTAAATGCAATGGAGCAAACATCACTTAGTGGCACTGGTGCTTCAGCAATCTACCCGTTATTGGCTTGTGGTATTGAACATACTTGGAACTTCGTAGCCACTGGTAAGCGCCGTAAACGGTATACTTTCGAAATTTGACTGGGACATGATTCAGATATCGACGAACAGTCCGTCCAATTCGCCAAACAAAATGTCTCTCAAAATTCTATGGACAGTCGCATTGTTGTCGAGCGTGTGCAGGCTGATGGGCCTATTCTTCAACCACTGCATACAAGTCTAATGGATTTTGACTTCACCATGTGTAACCCACCGTTTTATAGCAGCGCCGAGGACATTTCGCGCTCAGCCGAATTCAAGGAGTTTGGTCCGAATGCAGTGAGAAAGACAGTGTTAACGCATGTAAGATAATTTAACCAATCGACTCAGGTTTGCTCCGGAGCAGAAGTGGAGATGATAACACCAGGGGGAGAAACATATTTTGTTGCTCGGATTTTCTCAGAAAGCCTACAGTTGAGGACGAAGTGCCGGTGACCTGATTATAACCAACAGTTCGACTTCAGACGTACTGATGCGTGCCCATAGGTGGTACACTTCTATGCTCGGGAAAATGTCATCAATTCCTGGTCTTGTTTCCCTCTTTCGCGAACATAGTGTGCGTGCGTTGTGGAACTCCGCGGTCTCCTATCTGATTTGGTGACGCAAGGTAGACAACTACGCCATAACAGAGTTTATTCAGGGTCAAACTCGTCGTTGGGCCATTGGCTGGTCATTTCAAGATGCTAGGCTTCCTGATGTACGACTTCTCGTTGACTTCGCTATCACGCAAGCTATTTACTTTATCATTGTCCAGATCTTCGCTCGCGTCTCCAACCCGGCCCTGCAGAATGTAATGCCTTCTCGAAACACGCTGCATCACGCTTTTCCGGGCGCCCGATCTGCAGACATTCTGACGAGCGCTTTACGAAACGTTCTCGCACTTATTAACGGCGTAACGGTTGCATCTTCGGCTCCGTCTGTGATTTATGATCATTCTTCTACCATGCTGATGCATGCACGAAGTAACACCTGGTCCCGCGCAGCACGAAGGGGGAAACTTCCAGAAACGGTCCACCCGGATCAAGAATTGCCTGTGCTGCGTTGTTCGGTTGAATGTCGCGAACGATCATCTTCTTATACTTCAAGTGATGTTGCATGCGAGCTATTGTTCACCTGGGTTGAGGGCAAAGATTGGTTGATTTTCGAGAGCTTCGCAAGTCATGTGAGCCGCAAAGTCACTTCTACCCTACAAGAGTTCGGGGATATGATATGATTTAACGTGAGGCTTGTACGTAACCTGTGATTTTACATTCAACGACTTCATCTACATCCCAGATATTTGGTATCCTTGCAATGCAGCTTCATCATCTTCCATTTTCCGTTCGTCATTTCCCGATTGAGCTCCTGTATTCTGCGTTCATAAAAGATAACAAGGCGCCCAACGTTGCATCTGACGCCAAGGATGTTGTGTATGCTTGCTGTGCATCGGCTGCTTGAATCATAAGGTTTGCCACATGGTGTCCAAAATAGCGAACTATTTTACCTAATTGTACCGCAGGTTTCATAGATCAAGTGTGGTGCTTCTTCAGGAGGCTAGGTGTAGTGTCTGCATGGGCGCCGCATGCAGTTCATGCACAGGTTGTCGTATGACTGCACCTTCGTGGACATACTTTGTTCAGAACAATATAAAACCTTGTTGATGCAAGGGAACTCATCAAATATCTCACGCATTCCAGCCACTATTGTGGCAGACCCTACTATTACAGCTCCAATTTGAGGAGTCGCCAACAATTTATCTTCACTCAGGATTATGCAGGTCTCTGACGCGTCGTGTAAATGTCCCAAGGACCAGGGATCAGGGAGAAATCTGGTTATCTGCATTGGTGCGCGTTTTAACTACAGTTCTAGATGACGATGATTCAAGTTTGTAGATGGGACATCAAACAAATATTGTGATAAAGTAGGTCGTTCGATGTGCATATCTTCTGGTTTTCCTGACAATAAATATATGTACTCAGAACACCAATATCGTCGAACTATATAGCGAGATGGTTAAGGATGACAAACAATTGACGTACTACAATAGTGGTGTAGGAACATATGCTAAGGGCCACACACACTGGATGAAGCAGGTCTCGAGTGTCTTTGATCTGGCCTTTGCGTTGTAAGTATCGTATATTTGACCTTTCACGGCTCGTGGTAACGGCAGTGAAGTAATATCAGCCGAACCATCATGGGCGCCTACAGATGGCTCTCAGACAAGTACCGTCCTGGTGATAAGATCTTCCTATTTGGTAAGTTCCTTGGGCGTTTGTCAACTGTACTAAAATGCGAGGCCAGGATTTTCGAGAGGTGCATACCAAGTTCGTGTATTAGCAGGAATGATCCACCAAGTATCCACCAATTTTGATCTATGATCTATGATCTTTCTTACTCTTTTGAAAGATGGGGCTCATATTACCCGGCAACATAGAACAGATCCCCTAGTGAGTATATTTGATGATCGTTCTTGACTGACAAGCTGACGCCAGCAGTGCCTTCCAGCTCTACTGCGCCATCAACAGTGGAGAAGATAAGGACAAGGATCTTGCGGCAGGATTCAAATCGACGTTCTCGAGACAAGACGTAGTAATACATTTCATCGGCGTATGGTGAGTGTTATCCCTGAGTGTGAGCATACAAGCGATAATTAACACCAAATAGGGACACCGTTTCGTCTGTTGGTATCCGGAAGGATAAGATTTTACCTTCCACCGATACATGCGATCACATTTGCTACTTCCGCCACGCACTTGCACTAGACGAGCGCAGGGTGAAATTCCTACCCGAGTATGTCTACGGAGGCATGAGCGATCGATCCAAATCCAAATCGGTGCTAACTCCCAAGGACGAACATGGTATTAAGGAGGTCTGGTTTGCTGGTAGTCATTCGGATGTGTAAGTACCCCCCTGCACCAGGAGGCTATCGTTTGATAACTTGTTCCAGCGGTGGTGGAAGAAGGGAGAAGACAGACAATGCGCTTACTTTTCGAGACATGCCTTTGCTATGGATGCGTGAAGAAGCTTTCGAGGCAGGGCTTCTGCTCAATCCTCCCAAGGTAGCTTTCACATCTGAAGACTTGAAGGAGCCCAAGATCACCAACTCGTTAACGCTCCGGTGGTGGCTACTCGAGATGTTACCTATCAGACATCTTCGCTACAATAACTCCAACCAGCACACGCAATTGTGAGTGGCAATGTTGCTCAATTCCGCTCACACATTGAGGACCTGTAGACCGCATCTTGGACAAGGTCGCATCATCTTACCTGGCCAAAAGGTCCATGCATCAGTTCTATTTCGTCCCAATTATCGGTCGAAAGCAAGTTTCTGGAGAAATCTCCAGCAATGGCCCGAGGCGATCTACTTTCATGTTGGCACTGACGAGCAGGTCCGGTCGCGGTCATCACAAGACGCACTGGCACAAACCCAAGCCTGGGAAGTTCCTTTCAAACGCTCGACTGCCGAAGCTCTCGTCGGTACGATTCATAAGAAGCACGTGCTTGATTATGTCGATCGCTTGGCCTTCATGTGCTCATTTGGTGAGATGTCAGATAATTTTGACATACTGACCTGATCTTATGGATTGCAGATTTCGGAGTTGAAGCGGTGCGGGAGGTGAACCCACTTGAGACGCTAGAAGCCATACTTGGTATTCACGGCAAAAGTACTGCGATTATTGAATACTCAGAAGACGAGAAGGGAACCTCTCCCCCGGCAAATTTCAAGGAGACCATGTATAATGTCACGGCCGAAGAAGAACATGATCCTCAAGTGCGCCTCAGTGCAGTCGTCGCGTACTGCGGACTCGGTATGTCTTGCCTCTCCATCACTGTCTCGACGAACTCTTAAAAACGCACAGTCGAGAAGAAGGACAATATCACAGAAAGCATACTGGACAGTCTTGATGTTCTCGTCCTGCTCAAAGATGAGGAATCAGCACACCAAGGCAGAGCCTGTGCGGCTCTTCCAGCTCTTTGCGGAATCAAAACACTAAGGAAGAAGCTCCTTAAAGAGGATCTGATTCATCGAATTCTCGAGCTCTGTCGGACAGCTGGCGAAAACCAATTGATTGCGATGAAGACACTATCATATCTTGCCCAACACTTTGGTTAGTTGCATTATCTCTCTGAATCATTTCAAACCCTCATGCGATCAAACTAAAGATGAGACATCTCACATCCTTTCACGACGACCCGATTTTATCAAAGAAATTCTTGTCATGTTGAAAGATAAATGTGAGTCTTCGCCTGTCAATCCGCTCTTCTTCCTCATTTGCATCTTAGCCGCAATCGTCGTCGTTGCTGCGTTAAATATATTAGCAGCTGTGACCAGCAAAGGTCAGTCCCCACATAGATTCACAGAAATCAGTACGTTCTGATATTTCGTGCTCAGGGAACATCCCGAAGGATACCTTATCTGGAATTAGACGGATAGAGATTGTTGAAAGGCTCAAGAGGTTGATAAAACGTCGTGATTTCTTTGTCACTTCCGGCTGCGGTAGCTGCATTATGCAAGATTTGCCAGAATGGTTCAAGTACTGTTCCAATTCCTGAGATCAAACGCTGACGCTCTTCCAAACATAGACAAATTCCGCAGGGTGGCAATAGAAAGTGGTATTCTTGTCACATTGATTGACCTACTTGAGTTCGATAAGCAAGGCTTGAGCGGTGGACCGCGTGGCTTAATGACACTCGCTGAATTCAGTTCGTATCTGAACCCTAAGACCTTGCTTACCGTATAACTTATTCTGTTACTCAGGTGACGTGCGCAACGAACTTGCACGGGGTCCGCACATCGGCAAACTAGTTCAGTTTTCTAGAGACAAGGCAGTGGAAAAGAGCAAAGAGGCGACTGAGGAGCTTACAACGCTATCAAAATACGGTGTGGTCTGTCAGGTATTTGCTCCGGGAAAACTGATATTGTTTCAGTTGAGCTCCGCAAAAAAATCATTGATAAAGGAGGCCTGGACAGCATAGTCGATAATTTGGCAAAGCCAGACCACGCGTTATTTGCTGCGGATGCGCTTGTGAAACTCATGCAATACGGTGGGTCTTGCGAGGCATTTTGTCAACTATTTTGACTGGGCTACATTCAGACGACGCCAAGGAACGGATACTGAACACTGAAGTGGACTTGCATTTGCTGCAGATGGTCAAGGAACGCATCTTTGACGGAACGATTAGTCGGGAGGGCATGGATATCCTTGCGGAGATATTCAAAAACGGTTTGGCAATTTGATATTTCCGCTATGGGGTTCTTACGAGTTGTGCAGAACACTTGCGATCCATTATGTTAAAGCCAAATAATAAACCGTCACTCGATAATGGTTCTTGGAATTTCGGTGGCAAAAATGCACCCCGACGACTACTCAAGAAAACGGCAAACTACGTCCTGAAGAAGACGATACACAGACTAGTCAAAAAGCCGATGGATGATTCCAATAAGCCCGAGTATCCAAGAAACATTATTGGAATTTTGCGCCAGATGATTGAAACCACTCAGCTCGACTCTGTTCAGAATAGCGCTGTCAATTACCTGCGCATTATTGCTGATCATGGTTGGTTTCCATGTTGCTGTTGAGAATTCACACTGAGCAAGATACAGAGGATGCACGTCAGGAAATGATTGGTGCTGGAATAATAGAACCTCTTTTGTGGTGTCTTAAAGCCACGGGTGTGGACAACCGGGCTCTCAAAGATGTTTTAGAAATGATTGCGCGTAACGGTGAGAGTTTCAAAACAACCTGTTGCGTAACATGCTCATGAAAACCTCAGAGACGTTACGTAGTGAAATCACAGAGAATGGCAAGATACTGGCTGAAATGCTCAGTAGCCATTATCCTGTCGAGATTCTCCGCGTGACTGACACGTTCAAATCTTTATCGTCTTATAGTAAAAGCTCGCCTAGTTCTGAGATTCAAAGCTGACAATACTTTCAGGAGAGATACGCCAGAAAGTTCAGGAGATGGGTGAGTATCAAAACCTGAAGAAGGACACACTGCACTACTTAGATCCGCATCACCACCCCCACGAACATGGTTAGTTGTTCTGCAACGTCTTTTCTCGACGTGCTGAAGCTTGCTTTTAGACCAGTACACATCTGCATCCCAGGCCATCGAATCGATCATCAGGGCATATGACAAAACAACGCTCCAAGCCAATCCTCTCTTTCTTCTTTTTCTTTTTCTTATGTCTGTTGGGACAGTCTACTCTCCCCTACTTGCTATTACTTAGATCAGAATATGATCTGACGCATGTGATGATGCAGGCAGAGTAGCCAGAATCTTGACGATCATGAAGAATCAGTATAGGATGACAATGTCACTACTGGGCTCTAGCCACCACACCCCTTTACTTCAGTACATTAGGTTACATTTTGTTTAGCTTACTGCATGAAATAACTATAGTTGACGGTCAAGTATGAAATGAAATTGCCTGAATGGATCCTTGAGGGCCTACGCATCAGATATAATGCGTGAGAGGCTTCGGGCAGACTTCATCGGTGGATAGCCTGCGCTCTCCAAGATGAGTCTCGACCTATCCGATGCTGAACAAAGCAAAAGCAAAAGCAAAAGAGACTCCGAATCTTCCGTAAAGAACACTTTCTCCTTCTCTTCTTCGGTCGCATCGATAACTCTTGCAGCGACTCAGTGGTCTTCGGTAATTTGGGAGCAATGTTGTTGTTCGAGAGCCTGGGGAAGAGCACTGGCGGCCTGCGGCTACACTGGAAATGAACGTGTATGAGGTGTAGACGTGACTGCGGCGTCCAATACCATGTGGAAAACAAGTATAACCGGAGCAAGCAGGCAGGATATAAGGGACGCGAATATGAATAACCGTGACAGAGTGGTAAACGCAACCACAACTCGTGAGGCTTGAGACATGCAGAAGACTGAGTATTGCACGAAGTATGTGAGGCAAGCAACATAAGCGCGATAGAAAGCTGTGGGATGAACGATATTAGATAACACGCAACAATGGCATTTGCAATTATCATTCGAAAAACAATATGGCAGGGTAAGGCAGGGAGTTCAGACGACCGCTATGCGACATCCGGAGAGGCGACAAGATGCGGTGGTACATGGTACAAGCTTGGATCCGGATGAAAAGTTGGGCATGGGTTTACTGAGGCTGACGAAGACGAGATCGTGTTAGTTTACTGTGATAGACACACCCAAGAAATCAATTGTATCGGATCAAGTCGGGGGCAGAGAAAAGTGCAGTATGAGATTTCTGTTCGACTAAGCCCTCCACCAACGTGGGAGTCGGGGATGGGGAGCCTGAGGCCTCTATAAATGAATGTCAAAGTATTACAAAATGCTCTTCCCTGGGTAGGTCATCCCGTCTTCGTCTTCAGATCCCTCCACAATGTGGTAAACAAAACAGCTCCAATACCGACCATAGCAATCTCCAATCCCACAAAGTTCAACATCCCCACTGAAACACCCGAACCACCCCAGATTGCGCCCGTGACACGACCAGCATAATTGCTGTATTGAATTGCCATCGAAGTACGGCTGTTCCACTCGGGTGGGAGCTGCTTGCTGAGTAGACTAAGGGTCACGGTGGTCGCAAGGTTAAAACCGAGCGCCACGGTCCACCAACATGCAAATAGTGAGCCGTAATTGATCTTGCCGGTACGAAGGATGGAAAGAAAGATGACAAGCCCTGTAAGGCCGAGAATTGTCCCGAATGCGAGGAGTTTGCGATCTTGTGTGCGACGTGCAGCTAAGAGGTTGAAGAGGAGGAAAGGGAAACTTGTTATTCCACCGAGAGCGATGAAATTTCCCGCAGCAAATGGAGACCAGTGAAAGTTTTCAGCAGCGGCACCAAACACAGGGAGATTGGCTTCCCAAGAGCCCAGGATGAAAAAGCAGAGCATTGCGAACCAACACATGCACACAATGACACCCCACTGGGACCGTGTAATCAGCGAGAGCTGTGCTATGAATGATTCGTCAACGGGCGTGACAGGGCGTGTGGTAGGCGCTGATGAATAATTGGGAGAAACCTCTGCGTCTCCACCTTTCACTTCTAAAGAACCGATGGGTGGAGCATTTGAATCGCTTGCTGACTGCAATTCCATAATGGTTGGTGGTTGAGGGATGTCCTCAAAATATTTTGTCACCAAAACCCAGAAGCCAACGTAAATCCCGGCCATGATCCATCCCGGGCTTGTATAACCATTGAAAATTGAGTTTGAGAACCCGATGTTGTACAACACGCCACCAAGAAATGGGCCAAGGCTCATGCCCATACCTTGACCAATGACCAACCAGCTAGCAAGTGTCGTTCTCCGTCTTGTGCCAACAAATCGGGGGTCCGTGCAGTATCGTTTGCAGTACATGAACATGGAAAATGCAACCCCGTTGAGGCAACGGCCGATCAGAATCAGATATAAGAAGTTGGCCCGGAAAGCCAGAGCGTAGGCAACGTGGCCTAGAATGGCGAAGCAGCAACTGACATGAAGGGGCATTTTGTACATCCCTAAGAACAGGATGAAAGTAAAGAATCGTCCAAGGAGAGGAAGACATGACATAAACATACCTTTATCGTACTTTGTCAACGGAATCAGAGAAAGTCCAGCAAAAGCCGTCGGGATGCCGATGACAATTCCAGAGAAAGTAGCATTTCCTCCCAGGTACTCTGCATATTTGTTTGACGATGAAACGACGATGAAGAACGAGACCTATGAATGCCGAAGCAATGAGCGACAGTTACACGGTGCTCAACATGAATGTCTTACTTGAAGAAGGAGATTCATTGAAATCATGATGACCAGAGACGCCATGTTCGGAAGTTTGTATTCCTCTTCATCACGATTGTCGCTCGTCTCATGGCGAGACGAGAACGGGTTGATTTGGTTCAGTAATCGGGTCATCTGCACCGACACGCCAGTCGAGATCAAGATATTCAATTTGAAGGTGGATGATCACGGATATTAATATGATCATGATTGCGAGTCATACTTAAGGCGTAAGGGTTAGGTCATGCGTTGCGCGCAGTAATCATTTCTGACAGACTCAGAGAGACGGAGGCCGCCGAAGACGGACGTAGCAACATCTATGTTTGGACTCGTCTTGAGAGACACTTCAGAGCGATGCTTTTGGGATAGTCTAGGGACACTCTCGTACACCATACGTACCATGCTCTTTTTAGTATTTATGACTGTCGGAGATGCGGTGCGCAAAGATCTTGCGGTTATCAGAGAGATAGATGCGTACTATAGGGATCAGATTCAGATTGATAACTGCGCTACATAAAAATCAAGCTATCTAGTTTTCTGAGATCACCGATAACGAGTGATATAATTCTTTGTCTGCAAAGTTATTCAAGAAATAATCGTCAAACACCTCCAGCGAGTTCCCGGAATTTACGTCCTTGCCCAATGGTCCTTGATACACAGGTATAATCTCCACCGCATGCGTAACGTCTGTGAGAGGGATTATGGATCCGCGCCTGATCACCCTCCCTGGCTGGGAAGGGAATCGATTATATGATCGTCTAACCATCCACATACCCGTGGATGGCTCGGGGCCAGGTACAACGAAGTCAAAATGCTGGATGTATACCAGTACCCTGAGACAAGCGCTCAGGGAGCTGCGCACGGGAACCTCTAGGAAGAATTGGCTGGAATATGGCTCGTATTTGAGCGACATAAGACCCTGTAGAACGATATAAGGCCGCATCAGGAAGTGTCACTGCTGGTAAGTTTAAATACGCACTGTCATTATCACCATCGACCCTCTGGCTAAATAACATGGCGTCACAGTTCCCTCCAGGGAAATTACTGGAAGGTGGTTCGGCATGAATCTGTTGGCTTGGCATGATTCTACAAGTGTGGAAGGCGGAATGTAGCTGGATCCGAAATTTCAACCATGTATTGAATGATACATGATCAGGGAGTGTGCAGCCATTGCAGGTTGCATAGAGGTGTAAAGCATGCGCGAAATCAGGGAGATTATATAATGACTGCAGCTGAGACGCATCGAGGCGGCTGCGATCTGCTTTCATGGTCACGTTGAAGGCAATCCGTGCGTTGTCCGATATGATACCCTTCAGGAAATGATTACGAACAGGGCGCGGGCCTTGTAGACGTAGCTGGGCAGCTGGGTTCACATTGGAGACCCAAGCAAGAGTAGGATCTGTTTCTGTACTGGCGATCTCTTCATCTTCAATGATGACAGCGTTGATGAGCGGATCCTGATCAGGAGTAGACGTAGATGAAGATAACAATGTGTAAAGGTCGAACAGCCGGATAGTCTCCTCCCGATCGAGGATGCAAGCGATCTGCAGAACGAAGTCTCTCTGACAACTCGTGCGTTCAAATGGATGTTTGCAGTGAGTTATCAAAAGACGTTCTGATACGTCTGCTGTCCACTGCAGGAGTGAACCGACATTGAAGATCGCGCGAGCAAAACTTTGCATGAGTTCTAGTTTGGGAATGAAGAAGTCGTCCTTAGCGCCACCTTTTCCCTGTCGGGCCTCTGCGTCAATGATAGCCTGCTTATGATCGTGGAAGTCCCGCAGTGCTTGAATCATGGAGGCGATGCTGGATTCGGTGTGGAGAGGATTCTGTGCAAGGTAGATAAAATCGATCATCGCACGCACAGCGCGGATGAACCCAGGGCTTGCCATACCCCACAGCGTTGGCACGATTGTGCGCTGGATATCACGGTGCTCTCGTCCAGTCATTTGGTTGACGTGAGAGACACCCCCAGAGAAATGGCGCACACCAGTGCGCTTGTGGTGACTCTTGAACCGTATGTCAAGTTCATGACCCATGACCTGTTTAATCCACTTAAGAACGTGATCGAAAAAGAACTTATGCAGCGTGTGCAGAATCTCCGGCGTCAGAAATTTTGCAGGATTACAGAACCTCCAGTTTCTCCAGAACGGCAAGTGCACCCCACTGAGGTGAAGCTTTTTGGCCTCTCTAAGGAATATAATAAGATCCCATGGGTCAACACGGTTGCAAAGTGACTGAATAAGTGCATAAGTCTCCATTCCGTTCCGTGGAGGATGTGGTGTTTCATCGCCGAACTCTTTCTGAGTCGCTGTGGTGACAGGAGAAGAGTTTTTCGTGACGCATGCGATCATCAGTTGTTCGGGGAGATCAGCTATGTGACTGATAAGAGGGGTGAAACAGTATCGCAATCTGGCCGAGGGATCGACCATATACTCGCCAACACGGGCTGCGACCTTCAAATTAGAGCATACAAGATCCATGCATTTGTGCCATAAACGCGACCGGAGTAGAGTTTGAAAGTCGGAGTTGACGATGAAAGTTGGTATGGGCATGAATGCAGTACATCGCCATGCATGCGATGTCACCTTCATGCGGACGTCGGCCTGAATATTTCCGATCGTTAGAAATAGTGGGTGCATCTCAAGGCCACCCGTGTGTCTTGTAACTGGGGTTTTGTCGGAGGCAGCAATGATTGGAACAATAGTCGCCCCTTCGGGTAGTTGATCCTAAGTTGAATGTCAAGCGTCAGTTGCTTGAGTCATGACTCTAAACCAAAGCGCAAATACCTGAATCTCCCATGCATCATTTGACGTCCAGAATTCTCCGAATTGACGCTCTTGTCCTTGATAGATACGGTGAGGGTCATAGCACATATGGTTCGCATAAACGGGGTTTGCAAAGAGCTGCTTCGTAACCTCCAACCCGTCCCTCCAAATAAGGTGAATCGGCTGTTCACTTTCGTAGCCCTTGAGCTTAAGCTTTGTACTCTGCCACTTTGGCCCACGGCCAGGAAGCTGCTGCATGTAGAAGAATAGTTCATCCTTTGACTTGAATTGTGGCCGCTCTCTTGTCTTGAACTGAAGTATGTGAATTTAAGTATTTATTTGATAGTAATGAGACATACCCAATCCAACTTGAGGAATTTGTCGATCTGCGTCTGGGAAAGGTTCTCGACGAGGAATTTTGCAAGCGACCATTCACCCAGCCCATCAAATGGATACCATACATTGGTCTCTCTGGCTTCTTGAAGAGGATGGCTTTGCATTTCTTGGAACATATTTTGCGGAGGAGGTTGATCTGGAAGCAGGTAATGGTAGCCAGAGGTGGGGGTGATATTTTGCTGATAAGTTTGTCTGCTCTGGCGGTCGCTGTAGAGCCTGCGGGACAGGCAGCATCGATCCGTCAATGAGGTTCTCTGGCCAGCACGAATCTGCACTGTTTAGATGTTCAATAACTGCCTCAGCTGACTGGCATTGTTTCTTGCAGTTAGGACACAGAGTGACAGTAATGTTGAAGGGTGAACTGGAGAAAGAGATCGGTGAGTCATACAATACCTCATAGTACTACTACTTACTCATCAAACTCAGAATCAGGTTCCTCATACTGAAAACCAGGGTTATATGGATCATAGCACTGAGGATACGCCATAGGGAGTGAGGTACTGCCAGTGTGACAAGAGCTGCAAAAGCGTTAAGTCCTTAAAACTCCGACCGTTGTTGGCTTGCTGCTGTCAGTGACTTCAAAGCGACTTCATGCTACAGTTATGCCATATCCATATCCTCCACAGACTCCGTGCCAGGATCCAGTAAATGGCGAAACCCCTCCAACCAGCCCACTGCATAGCCCAAAATCTAGCCTACTTTTCCCAAAGGTCGATTACGCCGAAGCTTTCACTCGTATCTACCATGATAGCCCCCAAAGCTCCTCTCCACCCAGCAGCCTTTGTCCTTCATCGCCCCCAAGTATCTGTCACATCCTTCCAGATACTGTCAAAGACTCAAATGAAGTTCTGGCAGCATCTGTTACTTCCTCTGGGCACCATGACTTTGGACACGCTGATGTCAGTCCACCTATGAGAAAGCATGAGGGGCGACACCATATTTCACAGTCTGGTTACCACCCTTACGTCCGAAAAAATCCCCCCACACCGCAGGCAGTGCGCAAGATAGCAGGCATGATGGGAAGATTAGCTACCAGTACAAATTCAGACCATGACGACGATGAAACGGTATGTCACTATGTTTTATGCAGCGACTCTCAGTGACACATTGTCATTGTTCTAGGCTCGCAAAATATTTTCGCAGGGCCTGCAGCAGATGTCTACTGAACGTGTTCGCCATGCTGCTTATTACAAGGAAGCAGAACTGGAATACCATTAGCATCTCTCAATGACTTTAGCTTGGGAGGCGGAGAAGCTCTCAAGGCTCAAATATTTCATTGATGGCGAACAGCAGGAGCAGGAAGAACAAACCATTCGGGCATTTGAGGAAGCGGCACTCTTTACACGTATGGTTGCTGATCGCGACACAGAACGTGCTTCCCAGGATCAAGAGTTCATTGCTGTGATCCAACAGGACGAGGTGAAAAGGGTGAAACGGTTGAATGCTGAACTCGATGAGCTTGGCATCTTTCTTCCCTTGGACCCATCGGCTTCAGACCTCGACAATGCCATCAGCAAACCCAGGGTCCTCTGTACAACCCTGGACAGTGCTGGACAGAGCCACAGAGCCCACAGAGAGGGTTCTCTCTGTGCAGCTCTGTACAGAGTCGTACAGTGTAATGTATGATACTGTACAGAGCTGCACAGAGCGGTACAGAGTGTTAGCTACACTGAGCAAAACAATACAGAGCATTGGGTAGGCCAGACAGGAATACTGCAGAATGCTCACAGCATCACTACAGAAAGTGCACAGTAATTGAAACCAAACAAATCATGATGTCATTGCGTCATACTACAATCAGGTATCCTACAAAAATGCTAAAAACACGATCAGTCCAGTTGGAGTTTCAAGCCCCAGTCATGGCGCCTGTTTGGATCATCGCGAGTCAGGATTCTGCATAGCCGTCAGAAAATGATACAAATGATAAAAAAAGCTTCACAATACCCTGCAGTACGAGCCCATTTCTTTCTGGCGGCCCGGCATTTCTTTGCATGATAGTGGTCCTTCTGCACATCATGGTAGAGCTGAATGACGCTGTCGTAGATGGGTTGATATAAATCGGCGACGAATTTCATTTGCTTGTAAGTACCCGGTCTTGTACTCGTCGATAGCGGCAGCAAGCTAGTTAGAGATGAATGAGCGAAGACGATTATCCGAGCCTGAGATCACATACCGCAGTCGCTGCAAGTGCAACGGCACCTTCGGGGACAGCATCGGCGAACAAGTCTGGAAATGACTTCGCGAGCGCGTTCTCACCCTTGTAAAAATAGGACATACAAAAGCTGCCCAGGGCCTCGTTTGCAAGATTATTGGTCCTGCCCTAATACACACCGCGTGAGTCAGTAAGTGCGGGGCTATTTCTCATTAACCTGCCTGTGCATCTACTCCATCCCGTAGGAAAGCACCATTCTGCAACAATGTTTTGACGTTGTCACGCACCTCCCGCTCATAGTCGTTCTCGTCGTCAACATCGGGTGGAAGAATTTCGTAATGTGCCAGAACAATCGGACGCGCAGCCTTTTTCATTTCGGAACGCATAGTAGCGCGATCGTCCCATAGCTAAAATAATTGTTAGCGTGATCCGACAGAGTAAGAACACAAATACCAGGACTGCCATATCAGATTTATATTCATCCCAGTATCCGTCGTCAACACCAACACCCTGGGATCCAAAGTCTTCGAGTGTTTCTAAGAGATATTCAATACCCTTGGTTTTGAGAAAATCACTGCGCTTTGACGCTGTGCTAGTGAGCAAGCCTAGGCGTGATTTCTTCTTTGCGGCCTCTAGTAAATCCTTCCAAGAAGGAGGATAGAAGCGAATGTTCTGCGCAGTTGCTTTGATCATCCGCGTTCTCTTGCGTGGTACTACAACCTCCTCTTCAGAAGAAGATTGAGCTGAATCTTGAGTAGTAGCGCGACGATGCAAAGTCTCGAGCTCATCCAGGTCAGGCATGCGAGGGCGACAGTTCTTTGCGCGATGGTCTTGGAGGACATCTCGGGCATTGTGTGAGCTGTCGGCGACTCGTGAGCGTGCACGAGTGAATTCATCTGCATAAGGCAAGTGGGCAAGTTCAGTAGCATGATGGACACATGCATGGGATATCTTACCATCGTTGCTATCTTTTGAGGTGTCATGATCCTGGTGGGGGTCGTCAACAAAACTGTCACCATCATCCTGGTCTACACCCAGATTATCAACATCAACATCCTGGTCCGCCTCCCCACTATCACCATCATTGCCATGGTCCACCTGCACGTCATTAGTTCTAGCATCCGAGTTGTCCAGATCAAAATTGTTAGCATCCACATCGTGATCTCGTCCCGAGTCGTAGCCCTCATCGCCATGTAGAGGAGCCTCGGCATCTGAAATATTCATCCGTGATGGACGAGTGTAATCGGATTCCAGGTCAGTGGGCGGATTGCTGTCACTGGTGACGGTGTGTCGAGGGATGTGTTTGGACACCGGTGGTTTACGACTAGCATTACAGTGAGGACGTGGATCGTTGCGTTTCTGTGAATGAGCACCAGCGGGGGTGTGTTCAAGAGGGACAGGTTTGGATGCTGGTAGGGCACGGCTAGTATCTGACTTGGAATGATGACGCAGATTGTCGTGTTTCCGCGAATGGGCGCCAGTGAGGGTGCGTTTGGGCGTGTTAGGCTGGGAGGATCCTGATGGTGTACTGTTGAACCTAGAGAGAGCACGGATGAAATGGCGTTCGGAGGTCGCAGGTGGAGGTGGGACAAAGCCAAACCTTGAGTCGGGACTACGAGGATGCGAAGTGGGCTTGTCCTCAGCAACACGCTGTGGTAAGTTGGAGCTTGAAAGATGTCGTTCAGTCTTCTCATTGCTTGATGTCTTAGTCGCCTTGATTGGTCTTGCCCTTGGTTTGCGTATAGGTGCCTCCGGCGCCATGACATTTACTGGTTGGCTGTCTATCATCTCCTGAGCGGGGTTTTTCTTCACTGGACGTTGTCTATTCATCTGTGAGGACTCGAGCTTTTGAAGTTGGGTGAGGCGTCCACCTTGACCCATGTTACTTCGCTTAGAGCGACGGAGGTCATCTGCAGTGCTACATATCAGTTTTGTTATATAGAAATCAGTGTACTCACCAAGATCAGGTACTATGGTCTTGCGTTTGCCTGCCATCAAACATTGAACATGAACCCGAAGACAAGAAGTATAACATTCCATGTACTAGTAAGTACTACTTATTTGAAACTCCGCGCGGTAGTGCGGAAAATGGCGCTGGGGTACTAGGTACAACAAGAAAATAGAACAAAATGGTCATGATGAAAGTGTAGTGAGCAGTGAAAGATATACGTCTACAGGGAGCCAAGTTCCATCCCCCTCACCAAGACCTAGACATTTGAATCATCACTACTCAGTCCAGAGGAAGACTCGGTTCCAGGTGTTGCTAGTTCCGAGGAGGAAACAGTCTCGTCGCTTGTGTCGGAGACGTATGCAGAGCTGATTGAAGATTTGGCGTTCTCTTGGTTGTCCACCTGGACATGTCCAGAGGATAATGCCCTCCTGATCGAGGGCCTGGTATTCTCATCTGTGGTAGGATTGTCCACACGACGACGTTTCGTACCAGAGAATTGGCGACAGTACCAATCACAGTAGCGGGCGTGGGCAGTTTCATAAACGGCAACTGACATGGAGGAACTGTCAAGCTCCCAATTGAATGTAAGTGCACTGGGAGTGAGGAGATGCCTATGATTTACGCTGGGTTCGATTAAGTCAAGGGTGCTGCTCATCGTGGCTTTCACGAGATCCAAGCCATGGTTCAATGCGTCAGTCACATTGTCCATGTCAATATTCGGAAAAAGTGTCTGCAAAGATACTACTTGTCAGCATAAATATTCTTATCATTGCAACATTAGACTCACGCCGTGCGCCGTGGGAGGAGCAGCCAAGTCAATCCGCTGATCCCCAGACTTCACCCACACAAAATAATCGACAGACTCAATATCAATCCACTCATGCCCCATTGCTATTACTGGCCCAAATAACTTGTCGGAAGTGCGTTCAGGTGCGAACTCACTGTAAGTCCGCACCGATCCCTCTTCACGTGTCTGATTCCAAGTAACGGAGTTTGCTGCGGGGGAGGCATATTTCTTCCTTTCTTTGACCAAGATCATAAGAATGAGGAGGAGCTCTTCGTGCGATAGAAGAGTATCCTCCATTTTCGTCATGATGGCAACCCGAGACTGAGTGAATCCAGATTCGGCCATCCAGAGAAGTTGCGTCTCAGCGGCTGTCGTGGTTGTGGGTTTCATGGTCACCTGCATGTCGGGTATAGTGAAGAGGTGTTCGGAGTACATCCGACTATTGGTTAAGACGGAGGTCTTCAAGAGGGTTCGGTTGTACTGAATGCTGTGAAGAGCATGTGAGATCGTGAACGACATCTCAGATGTTGTTTCTTCATGGACAGGGAGCGGAGAGTATATGATGAGAATCATCCTGTGAGGAAAATATGACATCCTACAACAACATCGACATAAGAAAAATGTTTGACTGAATTTATATATGACGTACTTTGTGTGATAGTTAGAAAATGTGAGAGCGTCCATGTGCTCCAAAACACGGGCATGATTTTCGGCAGAGACATTGATAAAGCATACAGGTTCCACCCATACCTGCCGAAGAGCATCTACGAGTTGCTTGTGGCACCCATCTAGTAGCGAACTATGAGAAACAATAATATTTAGTTGACCAGCACCCTTACCTGGGTTTGCAGCGATAACATGTGTGATACCCAAAACCTGATCATGCACGACTGCAGTGTCGGCTTCGGACTTGGCGGTTGCTACAGTTTCAGTCTCTGGCACCACTGCTGGGGTGTTTGATGATTTACCTATAAATATGTAAAGTAAGCAATCTATGCTGAGATTAAGTGATCCGTCAGCATACAAGTCACATCTGCAGAACGCGGGGTCTCTGTCTTAGGGCCACGTCGTTTTGATCTGTTGGAGATCCATGAAGATGTCGTGGATAACACTGGCATCCCTGGAGTCGTTGGTTCGTTTTTCGTATCGGATCCGGGTTTTTTGCCTCTGGAGTTACGAGCTGTATAGTAGTATGCATCTCCTCCAAAGTCTCCAAAGACCGCAGCCATTAAAAGACTTCAAGGAACAAAGAAACTGTAACTGACGTGTCAGCCTACATGGTTTGGGTGCTATGCCGCAGCGACTCTCACGATGGGCTAAAAACAAGGGCCAATGAAAAAAACCACCATTCTAGTGAATACCCCTATCTGTCTAATGCTAAGAGCTTATCTACTAGTCACATGAAGCGCAAAGAAAAGCTCCTTATTCCAGAATTTATTCAGGTAAAACTCTGTGGCATGGTTAATGCTGCTTTGCATCGTCAGTCGCGGATCGGCTTTTGGACCAAAACGCGGGATGAGATGGACGGGTGCCACAATCTGAGTTATTGGGATGACATCGCCAATCCGGTCATTATTCGCTCGTCGAGCACGCCTGAGAATATACATACCCGTAGAATCGTTGAGAGTCACAACATCCAAACGTTCAACATATGCAAGATATGATTCGGAATATGAGAGTGTCGTGATGGGACGAAAAATCAAGCAAAGGTGAGCAACAAAGTGTCCTGCGTTTGTCAACATCAGTAGCGTGACGGTATAGACATAAAAACATACCATCCAGTCCACTTTTTGGCCACTTGTGCGTGTTGCCTGAACTAACGATGACAGAGTCATATCGGCCGTATGGCCAGGCACTGGAGGGTGGTTGAGCATGTAGCGTTTGCGCGGGCTCAAGCTGTGCAGGGTCGTGAAAAGATTTTGATTGTGTCCGTATCTTGCACCATACTTGAATGCGTTCAAAGGGGAGGGGGCAGCCAGGGTGGGCATGGCGCCTCCCACCAACAGCGAAGTGATCAACATGCGCATCAACCTGGTCAAGATAATCGGAGACTGCGGGACGGAGGTCAGGAAGAGAGAAGTTTTCAGCAGCCTTATCCACTGTCATTTTCGTGTGCGTGGGGTCATAGCTGAGATGGTAAGCGTTAATTGAGGTGGAGAATGTTCGATAGGGACGGGGAGCTTGAGGATGAACACCATTAATGAGGTCGCGCGCGCAAGCAAAGTAGTCCTTGACAAAATGCTGGACAAGACCACCCTCGTTGTCTTCGTCCCTTTCGTGGTCCTCCTGTGCACGCATCTGGAGTGCGAGGTCAAAACGCTCCACCTTATCACGACGATCGAGGGTGGCGACACACTTGCGCGTCGTAGTCGTGATTGTTCCCTGCCCTCGCTGGCTCCTTCACAACCTTGATGTGCGCATGTTCAGTGGGGTCTGCAGACCACTGCATGACAGCGCCGTGTGAACAAATACTGGGCACTACCCCCTGCAGCAGCTCGAGCTTTGGAATCGCCCATGGCTTATCCCCACCCCCTTTCCCCCGCCGAGCAGCAGCGTCAACGATAGACTGTTTGAACCGATGAAAGACTTTAAGACAGCGGTCTAAATCTACCACTTGCTTGTCGGTGAAATGCGGGGCTTGAGCGAGGTATCTAAACTCCATGAGGGCCCGAATAGCAGATATGAAGTCAGCAGGGGCAGCACCAGCAATCACGCCAACGATATACCGTTGAACGTTGCGATGGTCTCGCCCGGTGGCTTGCTTCAAAGCGGAGATTCCCTCCTTGAATGCACGGTAACCAGTGCACACCTGGAGGAGCGCAAAACGAAAATCAATTTCCTGCGAGCCAACCACTGTTGTGCACCAGAGACGATCATGGTCCCAGAACATTTTATGGAGATGGTGAAGTAGTTCTGGAGTGAGGAAGGAGGAAGGATTTGCGGTAAGCCAATTCCTCCAGAATGGCAAGTCAACACCGTTTAGATTGTAGCGTTTGCATGCCTCGAAGAACGGGATGAGATCGGAAGGTGAGATAGATGTTATAATCGCTGCAATGTTGGCAAGGGTTGATGATCCATCACGAGGAGGGTGTCGGATTGGGTCTCCAAAGTCTTCACGGGTAGCCATAGTGACAGGCGATGAGTTCATAGTGGTGCATGCAATTACAAGTTCCTCCGGAGTATCTGCGACATAAGCAACGAGGGGGGTGAAGCAATACCTGCTAAAACCCCGTGGATCACTCATCATAACGCCAAGACGGGCAGCCTGCTTCAATGGCTCAACAACGAGGTCGATACATTGGTGAAGTAAACGGTCTGCGAGAACCCCATGCATGCGCTTGTTCCTGTGCAAGAACTTTGCAACAGGAAGCAAAGCAAGTGGGATATATGCATGTAAGGAGCCTTTGGCACGCACTCCAGGATCAATATTGGCGAGACTAACAAGAAGTGGATGCGCGTAACGGTTGCCAGCGATGTTGCTGACCTTGGTCTTGTCCGAGGAGAGGACTACACCAAGGAGGGATGCACCTTCAGGTAGGTCTTTCTGTGGTCTTGTTAGTTATACAGAACGAGGAATCAAGACACGAGACCTTACCTGAAGGTTCCAAGCATGATCGCCTGTCATGAAACCATGATAAACTCGAACCGCACGTTCGGCAGACTTGTAAACCTTGCATGGGATGAAATCAAAGCTGGCGGCCAACAGTGGGTGACTGAGAAGTGACTGCAAGCACTCGATTGCGTCCCGATAAAATATTTGAAGGGTTTTTGTCGTTGGAAACTCGGTAGTGATTTTTTGATACTTCCATTGAGGGGGAGCTGGGAGCAATTCAACACGTCCTCGGAGTTCTCGCGAAGAGCGAAATGACAACGGGAGTGTTTTGGTCTGAACATAAGTTTAGACGAAGAAATTTAGAGGATAGATGAACTCACAAATTCAAGATTGAGGTACTCGTCGATTTCGGCCATGCTAAGATCGGACCGAAGAATATACGATGCCATCTCCCAGTCCGGTTTGCTAGCGAAAGGAAAGTATTGGTTTTGCTCCCTCTCTGCAGCATATTCATCCTCGTTGAATTGGTCCATGAAAGTCTTCCCAACACCCCACGTCTTGCCTGCACCGTCATAAAACTCCACTTCTTCACCGTAATCTGCCTGCGAGCCTGAAGACTCATACTCCGCTCCAGTGTCTGCATCAACTCCATGGTCCATATACTCCGGGTCAAAGGTCGGGTCCGTGTCGTTGTGGAGAGGAAATTGAGGACTTGGAGCTTGTGCTGGTCTTAAGATGCGAACTAGGTTACCATCCCACTTGTAACAGTGAGAAGAAGGCTGATTCAGGTGTTGCAGAAAGCGTCCCTCATTCTTAAAACGCTTGCTGCAGGAGGGGCAGCGCATATCGAAGGTGCGAAGTAAGTCATTGAACTCATTTGGATTCAATATTGTCCCGGCAATTTCCGGGACGACGCAAACTGTAACTACAATGTCGAAGTGTCGTTCAAGCTATGCCTCACCATCTCAATCATCTCAATCCCCGTATTCGCTATGTCGAGGCCAACAAATCTCAGATTCTGTAACTCCTTCCGACATCTCAGATGATACATCTGACTCCTCGGAAGTGTATAATATGGTGAGTTATGGGCTGGATTCTAACACTTGCCTTGAATCAGTTTTATCTACAGTACATACGCCGCTACCCAAATGAACCATTTGACGCTTACATGGACTCAATGCCGGAGACTTCAGAGGAAGCATCTTACCTGCTCGAGATGGCACGAGCTGATCTCGAAGTTCGACGTCTCGAGAAGGACCTTGCTGAGCGGCTTCTTCATCAATTTCGCATGCGCAAACACCACCTACGACTTCGAGCGAAGAGGGCAAAGAGAAATTTTGGAGATGCGGAAGCTAATGTAGGGCGCACACGCGCTCTCGTGGTGAGGTGCGGGTTTGTCTGCTCAGAGCGGTCACTTTGGTCTCCTCGTCCAAAATCCACCATCAAGTCATGTAAGCGAATTCGTTCTTAAAATCGGTATGCAGTCGCTGATGAGTACAGCTGATTAGAATATCTGTCTGTTGGATGTTGCATTGTGACCATAGCCTTGTACTGTGTACATGATTGTCAATACATATACGCATTGCACATTTTATATTTTAGCTATCTGTTGAAGTACTTTATTAAATGAATATAAGTTGTCACGCTGTGAAATGCATTCTCCGAGATCTCGTGTTTTGATGAAGACCAGCAAGATATTGATATTAATCTATAATTTACATCACATTTTATCGCCTGACCCTGTGCACTGTGCGAGACTGTGCCGCACTGTCACTCTGTGCGCTCTGTGCGCTGTACCACTGTGGGGCTGTGCTAGTTGTGTCGCTGTGGGAATCTTGTATCCAAAACCGGTAGTTTGCTGATGCATGTGGCAGCATGCGCTCATTTATTTATAGGATGTAGCTTGAATGATAGGATTGGATAGCTGTAAGGTGGTAGTACATATGCGAACATGTTTCTTTGGCTTTCGACTATTTGATATGTTGACGTCTTTGTTTGTTGTTTGTAGAACCATATTACCTTGAATGTAGCGCTTCGTAAACTTTGTTTCATGCCTTTTACTATTATGGACACTGAGTACTGATTATTGATTGATCGATTGTTCTGCACTTGACCACCATGTCCTCTCGCCAAAATGCACCGTCTAGACGCAGGATTGTACGGGTGAGTAATTTGGGATCTATCTCTTAGTACACTGACTCACAGCAACATGATAGGATGTCCCTATTGTTCGACAAGCAGGACTGAATATCGCAGGGCATTCATCGACAGATCAACTCGGGTGTACGTCAGAGACACCAGAGTCAATGGACACACCGGAATTACCCCCTCACATCCATTATCACCCCATTTTCTCGCACGACGGCTACAGCTCGATGCCGCCTAACTACCAGGATGATGTGCCTTTACCAAGGGAATTGCACCTCACCAGGACAGCACCCCACGCTTCGGGGCCTGACCGAGTCCATCAAATGTTTGAACCGTCTCGGTTTCGTATGGTATATACATACATGCCTCTTCGCGGTGCAGAGAAATCCCGCCAAGAATACACTGATGGTGTCGTTTATGTAGGCCCTACATTTTTGTACTTTGAGTTGTCACTAACCATACCTTTAGAGAGATGTTACGACAGGGATACAAAAAACGACTGCTCGACGATTCCACCTCCCTCCGCTTAGACCCCCGAGAGAGTCACTCGCTACAAATTTGGAGATCACACCAATTGCTACTACTAGTACTAGCACCCCTCGATCCTCTGTATCAGCCCGTACGGTGCGCGAGCATGCCCCTGCCACAGTACCTGTGGTCGACAAAGCGCAGTCGAAAATTATTGTCAAGGACGCGAAGGAATATGTGATCACTGAAACATTGAATACATGCGGATTTCACGATTCCTCCAGTCGCTTAACCGTAGTACGTACCGCGCTCAGCAGTGCATGTTTGTCTGTCATCACGGAAGGTGAGTACTGTCATTAATACAAGATCGATAGTACTAGAACTACTTAACGGCTAGATCACTCGATTGAACTATGGATCAACGAAAACTTATCTATGTTGTACAAGACCGTTATCACGCCCATGTCAACGATACTAAATCGATTCAAGCACTGCGCACAGGACCTCGTTGGCAATCTTTACAGGCTTCAAATGTCAATTTGGACAGACCCTGCAGTCCAGGCGAATCACAATAAGTCGACTGTTGATTTCTTCATCAGCAACAATAGCCTTAACTACATATTTGGTGATCCGGTGAGAGTACATACCATTTCACAGTTTCTATCATTCAGAGGATGACGAGACGATTGTCAGCTTGAAGATGGTAGAGAGGTCCGGTACCCGTTCGAGCACGAAGGGATAATCCAGATCGCAGACCGTGCCGCCTTTTGTGATGGCTATGACAAGTTTATCTACTCAGACAGTAGCCTTGACAACATCATGGCGATGTCTGCAACGGCTGCATGTTGCAGCTTGCAGGAGTTTGCCACTGGTGTATTCAAGCAAATTGATTTCACTTACGCTAGTTTTCACGCCATATATACGAAACTCATCAATTTCATTCGTGTTAACATTAGGAGCAATCCAGCGTTGTTAGCTAGATGGAATAGATTGTTTCAACTTCTTCGCGCGGGAGCTCGTTGATTGCTAGATTATCTTGATGTGGCTACATAGTTATCTAGACATGATAATCTTAATCTAAACGGCTTATCTTGGAAATTTTGTCAGAACTGAGATACACATATACTTCCACCAATCGCATGAGTTCGCTAGTGAAGTCGTAAGCGTTCGTAAATGTTCGTAACGCGCGTAAGTTAAGCGTTCATTTCGTCGTTTTGCAGATGAAGCTACTTACTAACGACTGCCGTAAATTTGTAGTTAATTGCGTTATATTGGTAGGGCTCTATAGACTCGGACCTGGAGTGCAAAGTACCAGAAAATGTGCTTTCCCTGGGCACATCATCCGTTCTTCGTCTTCAGCTTGTTCCACAACGTTGTAAATAGAATAACTCCAATACCAACCATAACAATCTCCAATATTACAAAGTTCATCATCCCAACTGAAACGCCCGAACCACCCCAGATTGTGCCGGTCACGCGACCAGTGAAATTACTACATTGGATCACGATCGAAGTGCGTCCGTTCCAGTAGGGCGGGAGCTGCTTGCTGAGGAGACTAAGGGTAATTGCAGTTGCGATATTAAACCCGAGCGCCACGGTGCACCAACATGCAAACAGTGAGCTGTAATTGACTGTGTCGGTGTAAAGGATGGAAAGAAAAGTGGTAAGCCCTGCAAGGCCGACAGTCGTCCCGAAAGCGAGGAGTTTGCGATCTTGTATCCGACGCGCAGCTAGGATGTTGGCGAGGAGGAAGGGGAAGCATATTATTCCACCAAGGGCAATAAAATTTCCTGCATCAAACGGAGACCAGCGGAGGTTCGCAGTGGCAGCTCCAAATACAGGCAAGTTGGCTTCCCAGGAGCCTAAGATAAAGAAGCAGACCATCGAGAACCAGCACATGCATATAATGACACCCCACTGGGACAGTGTGATCAGCGAGAGTTGTGCTCTGAATGATTCGTCAATGGGCAAGGGAAGGCTTGTGGCAGGTGCTGATGAATAGTTCGGACAATGCTCTATCTCGAGACCTTTCGCTACGGGGAGAGACAACTCCATCATGGTCATAGGTGGTGGTTGAGGGATGTCCTCAAAATATTGTGTGACCAAGACCCAGAAGCCAGCATAGATTCCAGCCATGATCCACCCCGGACTTGTATAACCGTTGAAGATTGAGTTCGAGAACCCGATCTTATACAACAATCCACCAAGGAATGGACCAAGGCTCAGGCCCAAACCTTGGCAGACGACCTGCCAGCCAGCGAGGGTCGTCCTTCGTCTGATTCCAATAATTCGAGGGTCCGTACAGTACCGCTTGCAGTACATGAACATAGTAAATGATACACCGGTAAGGCACCGGCCAATCAGAATCAGGTATAAGAAGTTGGCCCGATACGCAACAGCGTAAGCGACGTGGCCTATAATGGCAAAGCAGCAACTGATATGAAGAGGCATTTTGTACAACCCTGTGACAGGACGAGGTTTTAAAAAGCATCCAGCGCGAGGAATAGACCTGAATGTACCTTTATCGCACTGCGTCAAAGGAATCAAAGAAAGCACAGCGAAGCCGGTTGGTATGCCGATGACAACACCAGAGAAAGTAGCATTTCCTCCCAAGTACTCTGCATATTCGTTTGCTGATGAAACGATGATGAAAATGATACCTATATGGGCCGGAGCAGACCATGTGAGTGACCTTTGCAACGTCCTATGCAGATGTCTTACTTGAAGAAGGAAATTCATTACCAGCATGATGACCAGGGACGCCATGCTTGGAAGCTTGAATTCTTCGTTATCATCGTTTGTTTCCTGATGAGACGAGAACGGGTTGATTGTAGTTAGTAAATCCCTGAGGGCCATGTCATGAACAAACTAGTCGAGAGGACCAAGACAACGAGCCGGATCAACGCGAAAAATACGCCATAAGTCCTTGTATAATCACTAATATCACCGCAAGCCCTTGCGACAGTATGATGATTGGTAGGTGATACGTGGCACGGAGTTAAGCCACAATACTGGGTTGCTTTGTGCCCAAGCTTGGCAGCAGACCGCTCCGGCCTCCAGCTGTGGTGGGAATAACAAGGGACGATTGAATATAGAAAACCTGAATATAAATGGACATTGAGGGATGAAACTGACTTCCTTCGTCTATGCTCCGCCTAGGGGAAACCAAGGCGGGAAGGAATTCGGACTGTGACTTCCGGTGGTGCCGATACATAAAATGCGACTGTCGAACACTCAGGTACTTGCAGGACTCATATCATGCGTTACGTTGTACAGTCGGATCCGTTGATATTACAGTAGTGGATGCTGGATAACTGTTACATGAGGTCTCATTGCTTCGGGCTATGGTGGAACTGAATACAAAATAACAAGTGAACCCCGATGTGATGGCTAAGCAAATAATGAGACGTACAATGTCGCGCAGCTGAGATTGTGCATCGTTAAATTGCTTTTCGAGATATTTTGCCTGACACATAATAGGTTGGGTTCATCCTTGCATGCCAACTGAGCGATTTACCTTCTTATTCAAGTTATTGATGTCATCTGTCAGCTCCTTCTCCTGGGTTTTGAATTCTTGCTCCATCGTTTTCCGGGGAACCATCATAAACCTTTAACGACGAGTTGAACATTGGTCCCGTTGTAGAACCCATCTAAACGCACATTTTACCAACGCCCTTGTACAAGTTGACATCTCCTTCGATGCTTTGGATCTCATCAATGGTAAGCTGGAGAATTCTCCGCTCTCGATCTTTTGAGGCAGATTGCTGTCTAGAAATATTAAGAGCACGCTGTGACTGGACGGCGGTCTGTTGAATCTGGACCAAGATCTGCCAAATGACCAGTCAAGTAATCTGACAGTACACGAGGAATATTGATCATATACACACCTTTCGTAGCGTGTCGTCCGGTAGGGTAGACATTGTGGTAGTGATAGTGCGAGCTCAGCTATGCTCCATGACCATCAAGCCTCATCTCAAGTAAGGAAGTTTATTAGAGCTGGACCGGAGTTCCAAATTTATTCTCACTTGAACGCGTCCGTTGAACCTCGACCCCGTCTAGGTATTAAAATCAGTCCTCTACCATGGCTTCCTTCGAGGATTATGATGAATTCGGCAACTATATTGGCGCGGACTTGGGCTCGGATGAAGAGGAGGAAGAAGTTCTGCAGCAGGACTTTCGCCAGGTACCCCAACAGCAGCCCGCAACATTGGAAGGATTCGATGACGAGCCTATGTCGCCTGCGGAGGGTGCACTGATGGAGATTGATGGTCTGTGATGAAGCATATTCTCTGTATGTATCTCATGGAACTTCCAGAGCCCGTCCATAATGCTGTTATTCTGCATGAGGACAAGCAATACTATCCATCAGCAGAGGATGTTTATGGCCCAGACGTAGAGACTCTCGTCCAGGAAGAAGATGCTCAGCCACTTTCGGAGCCAATCGTTGCTCCTATCAAAGTGCGAAAATGGACGGTGGAGGAGAAGGACATGCCACAAACGCGCTTTGACAAGGGGTACGCACTTCTTGAGGATTTACGCGACTTACACTCAACAGAGATGTAGTTTTTTGCTGAATATGATGTCCTTCCCGGAGATGATTCGCAATGTCGCTGTAGTGGGCCACTTGCACCACGGAAAAACCGCGCTCATGGATATGCTAGTTTTCGAGACACATAAACTCGCATGGGATGCGGATAAACCGGTTTGTGAGTTGAGTTCTCTAGGTTGCAACGGCTTATGTTTCGTTCACCTAGACAAGATATACGGATACTCATGTTTTGTCCCGAGAGCGAGAAATCTCTATCAAGTCTTCGCCAATGTCTCTCATCCTGTCTACGACAAGCGGCAAGTCACATCTGGTGCACCTTATTGATACTCCGGGACATGTGAATTTTGTCGACGAAGTTGCTTCTGCAATACGTCTTGTTGATGGAATTCTGTTGGTTGTAGATGTTGTCGAAGGGGTCAGCAGCTCTATTCGCGCTACGCGTGATAATGAATTAACGAATTGAACGGCTGAAAACAGATGATGGTCAATACCGAAGCAATCATTCGACATGCCCTGCAAGAGGGCGTCAAAATCACCCTTGTTGTGAACAAAATCGACAGGCTTATCCTAGAATTACGTATCAAGCCTGCAGACGCCTACTACAAAATCAAGCATACAATTGAAGAAATCAACACTTTTATCAGGTTTATACCTATCCTATGTTATTAATCCTCGTTGACTCAGAAGTCTCCACAGTGGGATTGATCCAGATCCGGAACTACGACTCAGTCCTGAAAATGGAAATGTTGTGTTCGCCAGCACCGACATGAGTTGGTGCTTCACTCTTCGTTCCTTTGCCCAAATGTATGCGGACACGTTTGGTTCCCTCGACGTTGCAGCATTCGCCGACCGCCTTTGGGGCGATATATACTTTAACGCAGAGACACGGAAGTTCACCAGGAAAGCTGCGGACCCCGAGCAATCCCGCACATTCGTGCACTTCATTCTTGATCCCTTGTATAAGCTCTATAGTCATGTGCTGAGCGAGGATACGGAAGACCTGAAAAGTACCCTTGCATCGCTGAACATATCTCTAAAGCCAGTCATGTACAAGATGGATGTAAGGCCTCTGCTGAAGGCTATTTTGGACCAGTTCTTTGGACCTGCCACTGGACTAGTTGACATGATTGCGGAGCATATTCCGTCACCTTTACAAGCAGCAACCAGCAAGGTATGGGTTTTCCGGTACTTTTGATTAGTTGAATTGAGTCTGGTATAGGTCGAGCGGACGTACACTGGCCCACAAACTTCTGATATCGCTGCAGCAATGAAAGCTTGCGATACTGATGCGCCCGTAATGGTCCAGATCACGAAGTTGTATCATACAACAGATGCCCAGTCATTTAGGGCCTTCGGTCGCGTCATGAGTGGTACCCTTAGGAAGGGCACACCGATCAAAGTACTTGGTGAGGGGTACTCACCAGAAGACGAGGAGGACATGGCGAGGGCTACTGTAGAAGACATATGGATAGGCGAAGCTCGGTAAGCTCCTTGTATTCGATCACTCCAAGTGAATAAGCCATTTCCTCTTAGATACTTTATTCCGGCAGACGAGGTTCCCGCAGGCAACCTCGTTCTTATTGCAGGAGTCGACGCGTCCATTTCCAAGACCGCCACTCTCGCTGACCCATCCATTGATGATGATCTCTACATTTTCCGGCCCATTAAGCACATGACAGAGTCCGTGCTTAAAATTGCCATTGAACCGATAGCGCCGTCTGAGCTACCCAAGATGTTGTCTGGCTTGCGAAGCATCAACAAGAGCTACCCTCTCGCTGCTACGAAGGTCGAGGAAAGCGGTGAACATGTGCTCATCGGTACAGGCGAATTGTATCTGGACTGTGTCATGCATGACCTTCGGAGGCTATTTGCTGAGATCGAGATCAAGGTGTCGGATCCAGTCACCAAGTTCTGTGAAACTGTATTGGAGACGAGTGCACTGAAGTGCTATGCGGATACGCCAAATAAGAAGTAGGCATCGGTATACATGACTTATTTCCTCTCTAATGGACTATAGGAACAAACTCACCATGATCGCGGAGCCTTTGGAAAGAGGTATTGCTGAAGACATTGAACGGGGGAGGGTCAACATACGGATGACCCCGAAGGAACGTGGTACATTCTTCCAGGATAAATACCAATGGGATTTATTGGCGTCAAGGTCAATATGGGCGTTTGGTCCCGATGATAGCGGGCCGAACATTTTGCTCGATGATACCTTGCCTTCTCAGGTCAGGTCTGCTGACCTCCCACTGCTTCATTTTGTTCATTGTTGGAATGCAGGTTGATAAAAAAATACTTGGAAGTGTGAAGGAGCATATCAAGCAAGGCTTCCAGTGGGGAGCTCGCGAGGGTCCTTTGTGCGATGAACGTACGTATTAATTGTGGCATGACTTCGCCATACTCTCACAATACTTATTGCGACAGCTATGCGCAATGTGAAGTTCCGGATACTGGATGCAAGTCTAGCTCAAGAGCCAATCTTCCGTGGTGGTGGACAGATTGTCCCTACTGCACGCCGTGTGTGCTACTCATCATTTTTGATGGTAAGGTTCCTATCATTTGTGCCGCTGCGGTTATTAATGGGTTGATAGGCCACGCCACGCCTCATGGAGCCGATTTACTACGTTGAAGTGCAGGCGCCAGCTGACTGTATATCAGCTGTATACACTGTTCTAGCCCGACGCCGGGGGCATGTTACGCAAGACATACCCAAGGCCGGCTCGCCGTTATATACGGTCAAAGCCTTAATTCCTGTGATAGACGCAAATGGGTTCGAGGCTGACCTTCGAACTGCCACACAAGGTCAGGCGTTCTGCTTGCAAGTATTCGATCACTGGTCGATAGTTCCTGGTAAGTGCATACACGTTCCCCTATCAAAGCAGCTATATTAATTGCGTATAGGTGATCCCACCGACACGAGCATCAAACTTCGGCCACTAGAACCTGCATCAGGACAAGCATTAGCTCGGGATCTTGTGTTGAAGACGCGGCGGCGCAAGGGCCTGGGTGATCAGATTGCCGTGTCCAAGTACTTGGACGATGAGTTTGTGGTGAGTGCTACTTGATATGGCACTGAAACCTACGTTTGCTAATGAATGAACATAGTTGGCGCTGTCTGCGTCTGGGCACGCTGATTTACTTGGGTAGTGTACCTGTGTTGCGTATGTATGTAACGTAGCTAATATCGATCTTGTCATTTGAGTGAAAATGAAAATGAACTACGGCAGACGCGAGTTAAACGCGAGTAGTGGAAGGTCAAGGAATGTGTTGGGCGTGGGAGAGTATACGTGGCAGGAGTTAGCCGGGAAGGATAAGAGCTTGCTGGTGGTTTGTGCTTGGCCACACTTCATACCGTCATCGCTCGTTTTCGATTTTCTTCTGTCTCTGGTCCTTCGTATTATTAAAATGCGAAGCGTAGCGCTTTCCGTCATCCTCGTTGCAGTCGCTGCAAGCGCGTCAGCGTCAGAGGACTCAAAACCTGTATTCAAGGTTCGTTCATATTTCTTGCATACGTGTCCATGACGCGATACATGCAACCCCCTACTCTGAACTCATTACTGACCCTTCATCTGTAGGCAACAGAGATCAAAGCTCCTTTCATTGAGCAGTTTACTGCTGACTATTCTGAACGTTGGACGCCTTCGGAGGCAACCAAGAAGACACCAGTCGGCGGTGAGATATTCTCCTACGTCGGCAAATGGGAGGTCGAGGAACCCGAGACACCCCTCATCGAGGGCGAGAAGGGCCTCGTTGCCAAATCCAAGGCCGCTCACCACGCTATCTCTGCACCATTCACCGCCCCTGTCGACTTCAAGGACCAACCCCTTGTCGTTCAGTATGAGGTCAAGTACCAGAAAGGTGGCAACTGTGGTGGTGGTTACATCAAACTTCTTGAGGATGGCTTCCAGACCAGCGGGAAGGAATTCTCAGATACCACCCCTTGGGTTGTGATGTTCGGACCGGATAACACTTGCCCTGGCACTAAGGTGAAACATTCATTGTGCGATTGTCACATTTCTCTGACAATGTTTTCTGTGATATAGGTGCACTTCATCTTCCGCCACAAGAACCCGGTTACCGGTGAATTCGAGGAGAAGCACCTTTCCGTCCCTCCAAAGCCCACCTTTGGCAAGAACACTAACCTTTACACCCTCATTGTCAAGTAAATTTCATTTCCAATCTTCGCCGACCGAAACTCATGTGTGTATCCAGCCCTGACAACACATATGATGTACTTTTCAACAAAGAAAGTCAGCGCACAGGCAGCCTCCTTGAGGACTTCACTCCTCCTGTCAACCCTGCGAAGGAGATTGACGACCCGAAGATAAGAAGCCTGAAGACTGGGTTAACGAGAAGAGAATCAGTGATCCCGACGCTGTGAAGGTACGCTTACCCCTTGTAAAGTTAAGCTAAGGCGTTTATATTGCTGCGCAGCCTGCAGACTGGGATGAGACTGAGCCGTACGAGATCCCTGATGAGGATGCAGTGAAACCTGAGGGCTGGTTGGATGATGCACCCGCGAGTATTCCTGACCCGGATGCCGAGAAGCCCGAAGAGTGGGACGATGAGGAAGATGGTGACTTCATCCCGCCCACGATCCCCAACCCGGCTTGTGATGAGGCTCCTGGATGCGGTGAATGGAAACGCCCCTACAAGGCCAACCCTGCATACAAGGGCAAGTGGTATGCGCCTATGATTGATAACCCTGCCTACATCGGCGAGTGGGCTCCGCGCAAGATCCCCAACCCTGACTTCTTTGAGGATCTAGAGCCAGTCAAGCACCTAAACAATATTGTTCGTGTTTTCTGCTTCATTCCTCTCGTATTAGCCTTAACTGATACGTTCAGGGTGGTGTTGGTATCGAACTTTGGACCATGACTGAGGATATTCTGTTCAACAACATCTACGTCGGGCACTCTGTTGACGACGCAATGTCTCTGGCTGCGGAGACTTACGACGTCAAGAAGTCCATCGAGGCGGCTCTCTCTGCTCAGAAGGATGTCAATGATGAAGGCGATTACTACATCCCCCCCTTCTTGGAGGATCCTATCTCCCATATCCGTGGTAAAATTGCTCAGTTCCTTGACGCTGTTCGGGAGGACCCCTTATTAGCCATCCAAACCCATCCGGAGACAGGTGTTGGTCTCGCTGGTGTCATCTTCACTCTTTTCGGCATGCTTGGTCTTCTATTTGGTCTCGTTGGCTCGCAGCAAAAGAAACCTGTTGCCAAGGTTTGCACTACATCTTCCCAGGATTCCCTTACTGAATTTTATCATCACCAGGCAAAGAAGACAGACACCTCTACCCCCGATGACAAACAAAAGACTGACAGCACAACCGTTGCACCTGCAGGAGGCGAGAAGAAGGACACAGGCTCTGTCAAGAAACGCAAGTAGATGCGATGCGATCGTTCTTTGCGTGAGCGAAGCTTTCCTGATACGGGGGGGGCCGCAAGGATATGCGAGCCCTAGCGCTACTACTATAATTTACCAGTATTGATTTTGTTCATCGTTTGCCTGCTCGGGCTCGGGGAAGTAAAATGTATGGACTGCCATATTATTGTAAAATGGTTCCTCGTTATCCATTTCAGCATTCATCGGGACCAAATGTCACAATACGTGGTATCTGAGTATCAAAACAGTAAGATTCTATCTAGTTGAGACGATCTGCTGCGTATCATCACAATCAGAAAATTGCCCAGTGCAAAATACAAAGTACCGGTGGAGCGGAACGTGTCCTCGGTAGTCCATTTCAAGATGATCCGATCATGTGTGTTTGTGTACGTTTATTTACCAAAAGGTTTGGATCCTAACAGTCGCAAGCAACCGTTAACTTAATGTGCGTGGTGTTTACGATTGTTATTCTTCTTTGACCCAAAAGTGTCAACTGGCAGTCAGCCCGGACTCCCGGAGAACGGGTTGACTTTGATTAATATTGTTTTATTTTCTAGATTTCCAGCGCCTCATTTGAGCCGCTTCATGCAGAGAGTCTGAACCACGGTCTGATCAATGGATGTCATCAGCTTCATTGAAAGCAGATTATCGGACGTATCTGCCCTCCGCGTTCCTGCCATTCCGGAGGTGTTTCATGGGACGAATATTTCCTGTGACAGTCGCGCGATCGATTTCTGTCTTCGACAAGAACTTCTTCGAATTTCGGAAGGGGATCATGAATCATCCGTCATATAGACTTGTCTTTGCCTATCGGCTGTTTGTTTTCTCTTAACTGCCGTTCTGTTCATCATGTGGTCAGGGTCATGTACTTGCTTGTTTGCAACTCGAACTTCCACCTGCTAACAACACAACTTCAATGCGTCTTTAATATTGCAGTCTTCACGCTGCGTGCCGTATGTGGGGAGTCCCTTGTGCCGCTGCTATACGGCATCTATCTTGCTTCCCAGAGGACCAAAGCCATGGCTCTGGTCACGAGTCAGCACATAGACGCGCGCTTACCACCTACTGCCATGTGGATACAGAACGATGAAGGCGCGCTTATCGCCGGTTCGGTCTGGATTAATCATCCTCGATGAACACAAATTGGAATCAACAAAAATCATCCTGGCAATCAAACGTTCCCGTTTGTCATCTCTCTCCGTGTCTGCTGCTATACCCCACATACACAACTGTCAACCCCGCGTTAATATAACAGAACATATGTAATATCTCTGTATTCTTACTATCCGCCAGACCGGGGGTCAAGAACGGATCGTTTGCACAGCAACCACAGTCTTTTCTTCTGTTCCACCAGCGATGATATAGCACCGATGAATCCACAGCCTGCTTTGGCATTATTCTTGGACCTCGGGACTTCTCGTGTAATCCTATCTGTGCCACCGTGTCCGTTCTGTCATCGTTTGTGTTCTCTCGGAGAGTGAACGCATCCGAGAGTGGACACAGTATCAAAGCCAAAGCTTCCGAAGCCATGGTTCAACGATCTCGGCCTGTCATCTAGTCCAACACACTGGCTCATGAGGGTTAGATCGAGCAAGCTCGATAATCAATTTACGTTCTATCGCCCACGGTACGAACTTCTGCAAGTTACGCTAGCAAAAATTAGTAAGTGATCGATACGCCAAAGCTGTTTTGTACATTTTTACTTGACAGATGTGCCGCAGCGTCTAGTGAACTATCTCCTTTTGAATGATAACTCTCGTTCGGACGGGCACTGCCAACTGATGCCTACAAGCTTATGAGGGGATTTATACGAGCCGTCCTACCTCATGTTTTTGACCAGCGGAAACCCAGTTTCACCTAAACAACAGACACTCTTACAAGTCCAAATCTCAAGTCATTCACCATGAGTGCGTCCCGTACGTTACTCTTTCATCCGAGGCAGCCATGCCACTTCCTAAATTTTTCTGACCATTCACGATGAACAGACTTCACTCTGCGTCTTAACAACTTCCTCCAGGGTCGTTATGGCTCGACCTTCGCCGCTCACTTCAAGTACGAGGACACAAGTAGCGGCCCGCAACACCTTATCGTGTGGACTGGCACTTATTTTAGTGCGTAGTTTGTTCCTCATAAACGCCCCGACGTACTTTTTGCTTATCGTGTGCATGCAGTCAACGACATGAAATACGGTGACGGGTCGGGGTCATCCAGGAGGGCTGCGAAAGAGGCAGCCGCTCAGAGAACCATTGAAATGTTAGAGGCCGAGGGGAATGACGTCCCCCCTAGCTGATTCCTAAATGTCTACGACTCATTTCTTGATACCCGGCACTGCGGAGGCTAGACGATGAGAAGTGAATGTATGGGAGTGTGTCTATGCTGCCGGGCTCGGATGGTTTTTTGTATGATAGAGTCGAAATGATATGCAACGCGCATAGAATTTTCGACTGGCTATGTAATAGTAGTACTTGTGTCTCCATATTTTGTACGTCCGTTGTTCTTGTATTACCTTGTCCGTTGCTCCGCTTGTGGAATGTAGAAATCAATATGGCGGTCGCACAGTGCTATAAGCCCGCGAAATTACATTGGAACTCCGGGCTTGGGGTTTTTCACACGAGTTTATCCCAGTCTACTTGGTGCAAATGTGGCTTCTAACGCATTCAAGTTATTCGGTCTTGCTTCTGTACTACTATCGTACAGCTCGACCTTCTCTGGATCTCCGGGTGCGGAGTTCTCAACAGTTACCGAACACCCCAATATCAGTGTTTCAACCTCCAGCTGTCGACATATTGTTAAAATATGTCAATAACACGCTAAAGGGACCTTCGCAAGGCAACAACCATAAATCAAAGATACTGCACCTGCGCTATGATCGTGAGGTAGTGTAAACTGCCCAGTCGCCAACTGCGACTGAACGATCGACTTCCCTTGGCCCATTGAATCATGATCAGAAGAAAAATCTTCATGCCAGGCATCTACAAAGAACTCCGAGTCGCGCACAGCAAGTTTATGGTGCATATCGTCATCCACTGCAGCTAACAAGCCTCCACGTACATAGCATCCTTGTTCGCCACGACAAAATTCGTCCGACTCGGAGTACATCCGTTGATCGTCAATTACGACGATGATACTATCTGTTGGTGCATTACGAATCTACTTGTTGCCGTAATGTACCCTCAGATATCCGAGTCGTCGCAACAATTCGATGGACTCAATCAGGCGGAACCTTCGGTGTCGTCAGACACTATTGCAGAAGTGTACGCTATGCCACGTGATCCATGCCGACACATTTTGCTGAAGGCAATATGCAAGAATGAAAGCTGTGCGTGTTGGGTGTTTTGATTATTTGAATTGGTGACAAGGATTACGGTGTGGACACGGTTCCAATCTGACAAGACATCTCCTGGCGGCAAAGAAGCTAACGAACACTGCCTCAAGAGGGTTGAACTAGGTGGTATGACACCGTAATCCAACACTCATTATGATTGACATGATAGTAGTACGCAAGGACCAACGGTAAACCTCTAGAAGTATGTAGATGAAGCTTCTCGGCGACTCGGAGTTCAGATGTCAAACACCGTGACAGTTACATACTTGAAAACTGCATCGCCACATGCCAGCCTGAGGCCATAGACTGATACTGAAACAAGCACTATGAGGAACGAACTAAGAATCAAGAATCAGAAATTGGACAGAAACATTATAGATGCAGTCAAACTCCGAAGAACAATGAACTTCCGAATCATCATGCACGTCGAGCACCACCACAAGTAACAGTAAATGTACAGTTACATTCAAGAATAGTGTGCGATTCCATAGAGTACAAAAATGATGCATGTAGTTGGTGCAAAATCATATGCTATAGCGAATAGGCAACAGCAGAGAACAGAACATAGAGAGGATAGAATCTATAGATAGTTGGTAGCAGAAGTGAAATATGAGATGAACGCTACATGTCTTGGTCCATGGGGGTAGGTGGACTTGGGAATAGAGATGCAGGGGGTTCGGTGATTCGTTCAAACGCGTCAGGATCTACGTTATAAAGAAAGGCAGGGTGCTCCCTCCCAGGACGAAACAGCCAATAATCAGGGTCTTCGACAGCTTCTTGGTGCACAAAATCTGGGGATTTAGATGATGAATGGAGGGGATTTATATTATTTAGAAAAACGGGCACCATACCATGTTTTAACATCCAAGAATAAAGGTCTTCCTCTGTGGTCGGGATCTCCGGTGCTGGGGATACTGGAGAGTCAGAGAGGGCAGGTGCGGGATACGCAGGGTGCTCTGTATCATTAACCCACCTCCAAAAGTCAAGGTCGTTGGAGAAAGGGGGTACGGGTATGGTATCTGCAAGGTCCTTTATTTCATTAATCCACCTCCGGACGTCGGGGTCTCCGCCGACGTTTGGGAGTGTAATCTCTTGTACTTGAGATGGGGGAAGCACGGGTTCCACCAAAACAAGGCCCTCTGTCTCAAGAAGGTCTTGGGTGTTTTTGGCAGGCTCTGTCGGTAGGGTCTCCTGTGATGGGGGCAATGGAGAGTCGGAAAGAGGAGGTGCGGGATCCGCAAGGTCCTCTTTATCATTAATCCACCTCCAGAAACCAAGGTCTCCACCGGCCTCTGCAAGTGTTATCTCTCGTACTTGAGATGGAAGCACGGGTTCCACCAAAACAGGGTCCTCGATCTCAAGAGCCGTCTCTGAATCAGGGTTTTTGGCGTCCACCTTGCGTCGTTTAACATTGCGGTCGTCCGCGACGCGCTCTTCACCGGCGCGCTTCTTCCTCACCGACAAACTAGTGGAAGCAGAGCCCGTGATAGGGAACACGGATGGATGTTGTTGGGGAGGAGCAGCCGCAGTGAGTGGTGGGTATGGACTATTTTGTCCCGCTTGAAACGCGTGAGGTGGAACTCCAGGACCCACACCAGATGAAGGTGCGACAGGCGCGTGTGGGGGAGCGGTGCCGTTCGTCCCATTACGCGACACGCCGCCGTGTGGGCAGTGAGGGCGTGCGGGGGCGTAGCCTGGATGAATGTATGCGGGCTGGGGCCAGGGAACTTGACCCATATACATGCCAGTGGAAGGTGCGACAGGCGCGTGCGGGGGAGCGGTACCGTTCGTCCCATTATGCGACACGCCGCCGTGTGGGAAGTGAGGGCGTGCGGGGGCGTAGCCTGGATGAATGTATGCGGGCTGGGGCCAGGGAACTTGACCCATATACATGCCAGTGTTTGGCATATATTGTGTTATATTGGAAGAATCGGAACCGTGCGATGAGGAGGCGTGAGTGGTGTATTGGGTCATCTGGAGGTAAGAAGTAGATGTAGTTAGGAAACGTAGGTATTGAGGCTGGGGATACACGTACCTGAGCTAGCAGATAATTGATTCAGATGTTAAGGAGATATGTATGCGGCGTTCGCAGTGCTAGTGCTAGTAGGTCGGTGGGTAAGGGATAGAGAATGGAGGCTACCGAAACAGTATTTATATGCTTGTCCAGCGCCGCTTTGAAGGTGTCCTCAAGTTGTGTTTCCACTGCAGGGACCTTCCTTTCGGGGAACATTTCCTGTGGACCACCATTATCCACTAAATGGGACAGTGGTCCTGTTGCTCAATGAATTCAGTTTTGCATCCACACTTGAGTTGTTCATTCTTACAGCGAGTCCACGATATAAAGTTGAAAAGTGCGCTGTGGATGCCTTGTGGATATTTTTGCCACTCCTGAGGCCAACAATCCGATCGGAGCATCACAGTATATATTTCTGGCTCCGCGAAGGATTGAATAATGGTAGATCCAAGGTCCATTCACATGAGTGATGAGATCCATCAGATCTTAAACCATAATCTATATCGGCACTTCGGAGAAATAGCCTACGCGGTGAACTGGTCAACATCAGTAACAAAGAACGGACCTACGCGAGATTGAAGCATCCTAGTGGTACAGTGTCAATCCTGTCTATAATCTTCAGCTTTCCGGCGTACCCATAATAATTGTATCATAGGCAGAACCTCTTTTGACTTATTGATGAATTCTATGGGCCGCCATCGTCATCTCCGACATTGGGTGTGCTTGCGTGTATTAAGTCACGATAATCTGGACGCTTGTGATCCACTACTACTTCCATGGAAGGAATGAGTGCAGTGTATTCCGCTCGCTCCTCATCTGTCGTCCACACACCGACACCGAAAATCAGACTCTCCAGGGGACAACTTGAACGCGACAAAAATTTCTTGAACTCCTCATGGGGCCACGGAATTATTTCGCGAGCCTCGAGCACACGTAAGTTTGGGAGTGATAGAGCATTGAACAAACAAGTAAAAGAGTGTGCGTGCATAATGTTATCTGCGATGTGTAAGGATTGAAGTTTGGTGTGCGTGAATGGTATTGATGCCCGTAATGTACCCAATGTAACATGGGCCGTTAACGAGGAGAGGTTGGGACATAGGCGAAGCAAGAAGAGAACTTGGGCATCTCTATATATTACGATGTGGACGTTTGTCAGGTGGGACCATACGGGATTTAATGAAGATGGCTGCTCGATGTCGAACCACAGTCCCAGTAGCTTGAGACTGCGAAGAGTGGGCGGCAGTCGCGAGACCCATTGTACAAGGGCTGGATTGTGATGAGGATGATATATGGTCAGCTCCTGAAGCGCTATGAGGCCTGCTGACACCAATGGAACGACGGGGGTAGGAGGAGGAAAAACAGATATAGAGCGACGAGATTTGATTCATGTAAGGCCAAAGAAGGTTTTGTTGGTCGGTCATATCATTTCCCACGCACTTGACTGCTAATGAGAGAGGACATCGTTGTGATCGCTTGAGCCACGAGTCACAACCGAAAGCTGTTTTCTGCCAGTCCCTATGGCGGACGTCCACAAACAATCTGCACCATAAACCGGACGTACCCACAGCAACATCCCTCCATCGTCTGCATATTCTTGTCAGCAGCACAGGGGGCAGCTTTGAGTCAGGTGACAAGTACTTGTCTTTCGGGAGACAGTGCATGAAAATGTGGGATAAGATTTCAGTTGGAAAGCGCCAGAGAGCTGATGCAAGTCTCTTGTGTGAATTCATGGACTGGGTAATCTTGTCCTTCTTTTCGGCGAGCTGCTGGCGAAGATTGTTGATACTATCCATGACTGTTTGCAGGCCTGAGATCTCGTGAACAACTGCATCTAGCTGTTGCTGGCGTTCAGTGATGATGACGGTCCTATCTTTGAACTCGATGGCGGGGTTGTTCGCATCAGGGGAACCGGCTTCGGAGTATGGGGTTTCGAGGTCTGGAATCCGGTAATCATCAGTGAAACAACATCTGGCGTGTACTAGTACATCGGAAGAGACGTACGGGGACTTGAGTTGGAACGTGCGAGCTGAAGCGAATGAACATTATTATATGCAGACGAGAGCGCCTGTGAAACTTGGTACTTACGATGTCTTGCAGAGCACGAATGATGTCCGACACCAAGGAGAAATTTGTCTTTGGGTTGATTTCCGTCCCCTCGGTTTCCTGTATGTGGTCTGTTGACACGATAATACTACTAGTTGCAGGCATACTCAAGAGGAATGACTGTCTTCCTTCTGTGTGGTCTGGCTTGGGGAGACTATAATTAGGGGGGCTGGTCTGAGGGACCGTCGAATGTAGTCGGAGCAAAATATTGGATCACGTGGCTGATCCAAGCGGGTTGATTTTAGGCGCTTCTGACAATTCGAAGGTCCTCTCCGCTCCTGACCGATCCTTAGAATCAGTATGAAGACTCTATGCACAAAGTACTATCTATTTTTCGGTACCTTTATCTGATCAATATCGGTCTCTGTCAGGCTTGGGACAGTTTTTTTAATGGGTATTCACTGGTGAATCCAATCCCGTCATTACTTGTGAACTGCTAAACTGGAGTCATCGCACATTCATTAGAGCGTCTATCATCACTACACCGTCATCGTCACTTTCGTTCCGCGTTCTAATTCCTTCTCCTGTGTTCTTTCTTTGTACAACCGATCCCTTCCCTTGTTTTTATACACCCACTCTTCACCTCCCCCGATCCCCATCTTTGGACAACCGCCCACCTCTGTACGACTTCCCTCGTTACTATACATCCCGATCGTGTCTTAATAACTGGGAATTGAGAACAATGTATGTATGTGCTTTTGGTCCCATCTGTACTAATCAGCATGTACACGAATTAAAGAAAATGTCGCGGATACTTGCTCGTGTTTGACATAACAAAAAGAACGACAGTCCCTCCTTCTATTTGGTCCGCAGGCATATGGGAGACCAACTCCCAGTAGGGATGATATCCATTCCTGCCTTGGTTGACATATGAAGTGAAGTAGGCGATGGTTTCATCAGTGAAATATTGTAGTACACGCACACTGCACAGAATGCAATCCTCAAAAAAGCTCGAGCTCTCGTATTTCAATGATGACATTGAATTCAACAGTCCGTTGCCTCGCTGGTCCGATTTGCGAAGCACAATAGGTCTCTTATGAAATGACTTGGTTGCATTCTATCAGAAAGGTTAGAGATGGACAATAATATCATTGGTAAATGCCACTAACAGACAACTCACCAGTGCACGGGCAGCGCGGCCCCTCTATTATCAGATCTGCCAGCGCACACACCTCAACGCGTAATCCAATGAACCGCTTTCCTCTCCCAAAGTCGGTCGGATCCTCGGTTCAGGGATCGATCATTGATTGCTCCATGCGCACTGCAGCACTCATCTTTTTCGATGTCTTCATCAGGCTACAATGTTACAAGGACTCTCATGCGGTACAGGTAGCTTTGTCACTGATGAAAAATCCAATGCACAACGCACTGCACTAAATTGTAATAGTGCTCCGAAAATTCAAATACTGTTGGTGTGGGTATCGGTGGCTTGAATAGTTTTCGGTGTGCCAACTCAATGCCTCAATCTCACTTCGGTGATGCAAACGCTTGATGGTGGTATATCTAACAAGAACACCATCCTCATACGTCCTCCCAAGTTCCCCCGCTCGCTCACTTCCATCCTCTAATAATATGACCCTGCTAGTATCAGGTCTCGCAGTTGCCTCCTTTGCTGGTGTAATGTACGACTGGGGTAAGCAAGATCGAGTATCAAATAACCACTGATATCCTTATGGTATGGTCAGCACTCACGTTCGGACAGGAGGTTAGGTTGATGCCATTATTGAAGCAGCCATCCTACTAACGATGATTGTACAGGTTGAGTTGATCTGGGCAAGTAGACTCCTGTATCGTAAGAACGACGCGAAAAAATCAACTGTTCTGTGGCAGAGCCAACACTGGTCCCTGATGACCGTTATGTATCTCAGTGTATGTTGCTCGTGACATAAATGTGGTCACGGCAAGTCGTGGTGCTAACTTCGGAATATCATAGGTGCGTTACATCGGAATGATATATGCCGTGTACGTTTCGGAGGTTACGCAACAAGTGTTGTGCTAATTGACCATCTTTTACAATCAGCATCTGCGTTCTGGGTATGTCTCCTTACATTTATCGTGTGTGTTCTGACAGATGTCATTTAGTTTATGTCCCGACAATTTCGGTGACAGACATGGTGAACATTCTTCGTGAACCCTTGTCATTCCCGTTCAACTAACGCACTGCCATGTAGGGGTGAGTGAGATTCTCGAACAACTCGTTGGTTCAAGATAATGACTACCACAGTTGTGAGTTTCTTTGAAATGTGTGCTCCTCCAAGACTGATAAATTATATTACTTGATTTGTCAGGCCGTATCATGTCCGGCGCAATAGAATACATCAATGATATCGCAAATATAATACTGGGTGGTGAGTTATGCATTTTCGTGATTTTGACCTGACTGAAACATCAGGCAAGTTATCATGATCGTTCGGCTATATGCCATGTATCAGAAATCCAGACGTGTGCTGATATTCCTCGTCGTCGTCTTCCTGACTATCAGAATTACCATCGGAGTGATGATTGCAATAGCGGTGAGCCATATTGTAGTGGGTAAGCATTAATCGTGGATAAAATATTCAAGTGCACTGGACCCATTGACAAATGTCAGAGGAACACATTCTTTCTGGCAACCATGAGTGCACTGTTGCTTTTGGGGGAACTATCCTACGAGTCCTGGATTACATCACTTGGATACTCCTCACCGCATGGGAGGTCCTCACATTGTGTCTCGCAGTCTGGATAGCTATAAAACACTTCCGTGAACTGCGACAACAATCATCAGGAGAAATCATCAGGGACTGTTTCACGGTTTTAATGAAAACTCACATTGTTTACTTTGCAAGGTGAGCTCATAATCTGAATATAGTTATCTTTTTCTGCTGATCCATGTCCCGTATGCGCTAGCTTTGTCGCTCTTACCTGCATCGAGTTCATCGGTTATTTTTCTCCGACGATCTCAGCGGTACGCTAATCTATTGCTGACCTCTGTGCGCGACCCCGATTCATCATCTTCATAGTCCTCGTATTCCACGGAGACTCAGACTTATAGTGGTTTCTCTGAAATATTCATGCTCACGCAGATGTTTATACTGGGACCACGCCTCATCCTAAGCATTCGAGAACATCATGCTAGGCTTGTGGCCGACTCCGATGCAGCAACTACTATGACTTCAATTGCTTTCCAGGAGCGTGACTATGTGCCAACTAGCAGTAATGTGTGAGATGGGGGATTCTCGATATGAACTCTTTTGTATTTATTCCAAGTTTCGTCATGGTGCTTAGATATTTAAGTTATTGAGATTGGGTATACCGACGTACATTTGAAAGATAAACAGGTCTGGGCAGACGAATATATTGTTGTATCAGTTGTCCTTATCATGACACTGCCAGCGCATCGTCTCCCTGACGCGAGCATGACTGCACTCGTTGATCCAGGGCGTATGTCGATGCTGCAGTGCTGATGGGGCACAAGTTGTACTGAAACGTTAGTGACTCATCAACAACGTCGTCGAACAGCGATGTTACTGTCGAGCCCCACACAACTGTCAGAAGCAATCAATATTTCAATCTTTAACTACACCAGATATTTAAAACTAATCTCCCGAATCTCAGTGATATCCTTCACATCCCGCTCGTTCCTCTCGATCTGCCCATTCAAATGCTTCAAATACAAATACATACCACCAAACATGCCTGTCGAAACCCCAAGTGCAGCGATGCAGATGGCATAGGAATAACGATATGTAGGGCCCCAGTTCGACGGCCATACGTATCTATGTGAAAAGTGCAGTCGTGAATAGTTAGCGAGAGCAAGAGATCGACGACAAGGTCACTGACGATCCAATAACATTGCCTATCTGTCCCATTGAGTGCATCAAAGCAATAGCAACGGCGCGCTTCGCGGGTTCTCTGGCGAAAGTGTTGCTGATCCACCCTAGGAGCACCAGGTATCCAATGCCGGATTGAGCCATCAGGAACCTGTATGTTTCTGAGTACAATAGTGGCGCCTCAAAAGTGGCAATACTATTCACAGTGAAATATAGCGCGCAGCCTTGTTCATCGTAGAGATCGACATGAGGAATGCAAGGGCGCCGAATGCATTGGTAACAACGAAGCATTTGTAACGTCTATGCTTCTTATCAGAGTACCTGATCTCCGTGAGATGCGATTTTCTGATAGAAATGACTCACTAACCATGTAAGAGTAAATGCGACTATACCCGCGAGCACCCAAGGAGGAGCACAAAGCAACAATGTTACAGTCGTGTCGTATCCCAGTGTCGCGCACAGCGTTGGGAAGTAAGCGAAGAAAGACTGCCCCACTATCTGGAACATGGCCGCAATTGCAAACCACCACACCTTCCAGTCAGACACAGCATCCTGCAGTCCTTGCATGGTCGTCTGCTTCCCAAGCTCGTCAGCCTTACCATAGCCATCATTTGCAAGGCGAGAGATAGCAAGTGCTCTTTCCTCCGGAGTGATCCACCTGGTGTTGTGCGGGAAATTAGGGAGTATGAATATCGTGCAAATCGCGACCAAGATAGTCATGCCGCCTTCAATAAAAAATAACCATCTACAGATTATTCAGCTCCAAGGAGTGATAGAAAGACGATTGTCACCTGCCTCCATGCAGCTTGACCAAGTTTGTCCTGCATGCCGTTAAGTATAGCAGATGCAAGTAGGGATCCGAATGCAGAGCTGAGAAAACCTCCAGAAGAAACGAGAGCTATTCTCAAGGCGAGCTCGTCCCGCTTGTACCATTTAGATACAAGAAATATTATACCGGGGAAGAACGGTGCTTCAGCAAAGCCAAGAAAGAAGCGGGCGACAACAATCCCAGTATAACTTGGGTCAAACAATCAGAGACTCGATCTGAACCATGCAAAACAAGGATGTGTACTTCGTTGTGATCCCTGAGCACCATTAGCAGTCATCTTCACGGACGATCAATGTTGACAAACCTGTTAACACTGATATTGTACCCCATGCTATCATGCAGCACGGAAGGATGATAGAAGGCTTCTCCAGCCAGTGCAGGAACATGTTCCTGAAGAAAGGTTATGTTCGGCTGTCTCTCGATGAAGGACGAAACTCACCCTGGGACTTGCATGACAATGTATCCAACATATAGGATGGACAAAGTCGTGGCGTATTGTTGCCCATGCAGGTGCAGGTCTTTCTCAAAACCTTGTAACCGAGCGTTGCTGTAGATGTCATAAGATCAATGCAAGTACAACAGTATGTAACACACCTAATATTGGATCTGTCAATCTAGGGTACACAGTAAGCATCAGAATAGAGTTCGCAAAAACCTCGGACCCACCAGATTCAGGGTTTGTAAAATCAGTAGTATGGACATGCGCAAATCAAGCTTCCTCAGTAATCTCCTCTCAAGGTTATCACGGGCATGAGAGGGGACACCTTTTGACAAGTCGTTAATTGTATCGATGGCGTCAACCTCTGTTGGATCGCTGAGAGTGGACATCCTTAGGGGGAAGGGGGGAAAATGCGACACGTAGACTTGCATACATTCTTGGCAATAAGTAGGTGAAAAGAGTGGTGCGAATTTGATTATAGCTGGAAGCCATGGGTCGTCTGTCAACGTCCCAAAATAATATTGACTGCACCATCGGTTGATCATAATAGCAAATCAGGCTGCTCCACCTGTAGTTTACCCAATCCTAGCGATGTGCCGGATCAGCGGCCCTGGTAATTGGTTTGGCTAAATGGTTGTGCTGAAAGATGAAACAGATGGTGCACAGAACTCCGCGGCGAGAACATAGTCATCAATCTTCAGAAGCCCCGTGCTGGGGCCAGAGGGTGTACGGTCCGGAATATGTAACCTATAGACATATCAGTATAAGCACACCCTGGAAATAGTTGATGAGACTGACACTTGTCGTGACGGCCTGGATCCTTTTAACTAATAACGACCTGCAAGTAGTTGTAGATTCTTAGTCGAGACTCGTCCGAACCGCTGGAAGTACATGTGCAACCATCGATGTACCCGAAGCGTGGATGAAGTGGATCATGATGACGATGAACCAGGGTTCCCAAGGGCAGGAGTTACACACCAAGGGCCTGTTGACCCTTTCCACAGCTTGGTCAGCACGTAGACTAGGTTTCACCATGTGCGTAGCTAGCATCCATCATCATCACAGTTTGTCTGCCTTGCTCTGGGCTTAGGCCGCTGGCCCTGCTCCAACGGGGATTCAAAGCGGATGAGATAGACATGATGTATTGACTCTTCAGAAGGAGAGGTATAATTCCACCCCTACGTTGTCAATGATACTTCTGCCGACAACATCATTTGATTAGCCTCGCTCACGTCCCTTACTTGAAGCTAGAACTTATCATTTCCATTTTAAGAATCCTAAATTTCACTTTACTACGCACGACTGATACGGGATTGACTGTTAGACCGTATAAGTCATGGCAAGTCTGTTGAAAATGAAATGAGCATCTGAGGCGCGACTGTCGGATATGACAAGTACCTAAAACCACTGCTTGAGTGATTTTTAGAATAATCAGGGCAGTACTCCAGGAGAACGTTGGGACAGACGTTCCTATTCCGGGTGACCATGAGCGGCAGCAGCAGCCGTCTTACCAGATGACCGCAATGTTCGATGTCGAGAAAAAAAAGTAAGTTGCCGCCCATCACGATCGGGACGAAGCGACAGTTTATGTTTGTATTATGAAAACCCTGACGAGAGAGCATAGCTGGCCTAGTCTGCATGATATTGACATAGTGTCTGCAAATGCGAAGTTCATGCACATGAGCTGCCGTCCGTCATGAAAGGATTTGAACGCGTAAACAAGCATCAACAACGCGGTCGACCGTCGAACAACATCTTGATTCTTGAATGTCAGAAGCGTCGAGCTCTCGCCTCTTATATCGCGGCTCACTCTCCCTGCCAGACTCTTATATCCTCTTAGATGGACTCACTTTCTCAGCAAACCTTCTGGCTAACAAAGACCTCCTCCACAATCCACTTGCACTAGCACTCGAGAGCATGCGCGGTCGTCCCTCTCTCAGACTAAAAGGCACGGAATCACTCAAGAATATATGCATAGACCCTTCAGATGACGTCTGTATGTATGTGAGCACGTCGAACTCCCATCACACCCCATTTACACCCAACAGGGACATCCATCCATCCGCCACCCTCTCTCGGGTCTACTTTGAAAATATGCTCTGCTTATCGGATCTGTCTCCCGATGGGCGGACAGAAATAGGCGTGCGTGTAGCCCTGGGAGATACTGGTACATTCGTTCCTTGATTCTTCCATTTGATCTGGACTGATTGCCAATTGTAGATGGTCCAGCAACGACAGAAATACTGATATTTGGAAAGGTCCATTCGTCGTCAACTACTCCATCCCTAACAATCCGTGCAGCACGCATCATTCCCGCTACTCGTGCTCCCCGCCCAGACGATCCTACACCCCGAAAACCGCCTCAGCATCTTCTCACACGCACACAATCTATCGGAGAACTCGCTGCGAACACGAGGATCAAAGTCAAAGGAGATGAATCAGAGGTGGTGAGACGGGCAAGAGAGGTGATGCTGCATTTACCGAATTCGAAATCACGGGGGAGAGGGAAGGACAAAGAAAGAGGCAGCGCTGTATTTAAAGTACCCGCGCTGCCAGCAAAGAAAACCAACCACGCACCAGATGCAGACGTTTTCGGACCTGTCAGCGATGCTAAAGGTAAAGCACGCGCGGTGGACGAAGGAATTGGTAATATAGAGCAGGAGAACAAATCTGTCTGTCCAACCTTCTTCTCTGGCGTCCTTGTGTTGTGCTCAAACGTCACATTCCACAGATCATCAAGAAATTCACTGTAAGACACCTTGATGCAGCGGGTGTGTCCAAGGCGCATCCGGAGTTTAAGGAACTCTTTGGGTTCGTATATCGTGGTACAGCTTTTGCTCTTGTACGTCAATGTATTCCTCTTGGTGGCTGCGTACTTATTTTTTGCCTCAGAGGGCCACGATAAAGAAATTTCCTGTTAGTGCGCTAGCTCTAGAGACGCTTGTGGAAGCACACATTAAGCTTTATGTTACATCACCCACTTGAGAGGAAGGGCTCTTTTCCAACTGGAGTCGCATTCCCAGCAGCAGATTGTTCGCATACAGCACGGAATTATATACCCCGCTCAGAAAAACTATGAAGGATCATAATGCTACTACATAAAAATCCATGAAAGAACGTCCACTGAACAAAATCAGGCGATTAGTCTCTAATGTATGATAGCCATAGGTATTAATTATCGCATAGAATAACAACGCCTGCAGAATGACATCGACCCATTAGCCCGATATAAGTTAGCAATAGATATTGATTATCACGATAAGATATGCAATAAGATATGCAGGGAAAGAACAATGGTACAAGAATCAAGATCCACTCGAAAGAATTAAGCATCGATGCATCAAGCACCGCTTCCCACACTGGCAGCAGCAGCAACGGGTCCCGGATAAACACTCCCCACAATCTCCTTAAATGCCCTATCATCCTCGTACCTGTCCCTCGTCTGCGTAACAATAACCTGCAATACAGGCCTGGGACTCTCAGCAATATGCACATTGTCCTCATCCCTCTCAAAAGTCGAGGATGTGTTGAAACAGTTGAGCGCTTGGAGCACTGGGCTCGTAGGGCGCGAAGGGGGGTTGGAACGGGGTAATGCGGATAACGAAGAAGATGGAGAGGCTGTGGGGGATGGCGAACGTGAGAACATCCGTGGAAGGATCATCTGGGCTCTAGATGGCATACGACTTGGATTGGGATGAAGATTAGGAGTGGGGTTGGGGCGTATGATGGTGCGTGTGACTACGACGTCATCCCTCTCGTAAGCATCGACTTGTTGAGTGTGCGATGGAGGTACATCAGGCATAGCAGAAGACGCAGTCGTGTATGTAGTGGAAGTAGAAGAAGAACTTGGTGTGGATGAGCGTGATGCCTCCGAATCTGCATCTCCCCCCTCAAGAGGGACGACCACAACCTCGTGGTCCGGCCATACACCACCTACGCTCGCACGTACGGGGAACAGCATACATGGTCGAGTTCTGACGCAAAGGCCCTGCCCCATCGTCGATTTTTCAGTGCCGGTTTTAAAAAGCGAGTTGGGTCTCTGAGAATGGAAATGGAGGTAAGCGTGGTGTTAAGAAGACTAAGAGAAATGAAATGAAAGGGAAAGAAATACTCACTGCGCTGGTGCGCAGTAGCGGATCGAAACGCTGTGCGTCCATGGGGTCGTATCGTGCGGTATCCATTTCCATCTTGGTATGTATGCAGTGTGAGACGGCTCCAGAGCGATCAAATGAGTTTTAGAAAGCCTGTGAGAGAAAGGGACGATGACCTGCTCATCATCGCGAACGAATGATTTAAGCAAAAATGCCTGGTCCACAAGTAACTGTGGACAATGAGGTGTGGAAGCAAAACGTCCGCCACATATCGTGACTGTGCCACTGGCGCTTTTCCTTTGTTGGCCGTCCGCACGCGTATGCATGGGTGTGGACGCAGTGCAGGGTGCCGTTGGCGTTCAAGCAATAGCCCGCTTTGTATGATTGCAAAGTCCGAGGTTTTAATCCCGGGCGTTTGAAACATGGTGAGGATCCACAGCGGAACGTGTCGTCCTAGTGGAAAAGCTGCCACGCGTTGGAAGCATTGAAAGAACCTTAGTTATCATGAATCAACAGGTCTGTCAATATGTTCATTTTCGTGCAGTTGTCGTGTCTTTAACGTGTTTTTGGTCTTCGCGCTGGCGTCTACTGCAACGTATGTTGCCTGTAGGAAGCCCACGCGCAATCCATGTACGAGCCACACAATGGGCCTCAGCCGTTGTATGCGCAGCTTGATGGGACGGAACCCGTATTTGAGATAGTACGGAGAGCGAGGGTCGTGGTGCCCGGGGAGCAGGTGCGGCTGATCGTGGTGATTGGAGAATCAGGTTCAACCTTGCTGTGATTTTGATGTGGTGCAATGTAGGTGGCACCTAGTAGACAGGCAGCAGGTTGTCGCCCTCGTGTGAGGATTATACTGGCAGCCTCGAGATGACTTGCCTACCGGGTATCCGGTCAACGTGGTCCGACAGAAGGTGTCGATAGCGCAAGGCTCGTTCGAACACATAATTAATATCAGTGCTGGTGCTGATTTCCCTATCCACTACATGAGTATTTGTAGCCTTATAACTTTCAATATGCAGCCAATGGACATTATTTTATTATGACTTACAATACTATGGTGCTTCCAAACACTAATGTCGAATGACAGTGCATTAGCTAGTATGTTCAAGGCAAAATCCCTTTATACTTCACCTCAAACAGCTCCAGATCGATCGGACACACGGACCGGAAAAGACAACTACACCTTCTGGTTGAGCCTGATGCATGATGCCTGAGGAGCAGTGCTAGCTGGGTGAGACTCGGAGCAGCTGTACCACATGTTTGGATTCTACAACGGCTGTAAGACTGCTCTCACCATTATATAACGTTATGAGATTAGGCAAATATATTCAACTTGTGTGGACTATCCAACTAGTACTGTGTTGTCATCGAAAAGTTCCGATAACTAGATATTACATAACCCGGGCCTGATGGCAAGCGTTTGGAACGCCACTACTGGTCCACTAGGTCACAATTCGGGGGTTCTAGTAGCTCAAGTAGTACTGGCTCAGTGGCTATAGCGGCTATCAATTTAACGCTAGAAGAACTGAAGGCGGTTGCCGCATCAGCACAGAAGATATTTAAATGACGAACATGCGTTCGGAAGTTCAAGAAATTGGCATCTTCGCCACGGCGGTTTTAAAACTTAGCAAATCCTTCATCCGGACGGAAACTCATGGGCAAACTCAGCTTTGCAGATTTGCGCTCTACGCAGCTGGGGGGACGAGCATTGCTTCCCACAGTCATCTCAATACATCAGTCAGATGACGAGATGTAGAGAGTCGGTGATGGTTCGTGCGTGCTGATAAAATACGGGAGATTCTAGCGTTGATTAGGAGCCAGGCGAGGGATGTTTTAAAAAGCTTGGCGGGGTTAGAAGGTGGAGGTGAGGGGGGTGGTCACAAAGGCCTTGTCCGTCGTGTCAATGCAATATGCTGGCTCACGCCCATTAGCCCGTGGCAAGCTGAGACGCAGGCTAAGTCAGCGAAAGAAGTAGGACATAATTTATTGATTATCGCTCGCATTACATAGAGTATGCACATCGTCGTAATTCAATCTCATCGATGCTTTTAAATCGCGCCAGCATCGGCGTCCGAGTTTGCATTATCTAGGAATTGATGGCGGGGTTCGGGTGAGATCAGAAATGATCATGGTACTCGTAAAGTGATAGGTACGCCCCTCTAGACCTTCCTTCCCATAAAGTATGAAAAGAACCGTCCAGAGGGATGCACCTTATACAGTCTTATTCCTATTCTTTGTTGGTAGGTGACTTGGGGTGTGGGTTTGCTCGTGTGAGATCTTGTGCTATCAGTCATTCTGAAGTGCTAGATGCTCTCCCTCCAGCCCTTCCATCCAGTCGGTTTGACGTATTTAAAAGTCAGAGTGAAGGATCTTGCATCATCGATGCCAGTACTTATGAAGTGCCCTTCTCGAGTATCCTTCCATGGATCAGATCGTCGTGAACAAGAAATGGTGAGAGGGATGCGTCTTGTGCCAAAAAGAGAGGCTATGGGTGTATGACTACGGACGATCAGATCAATCATGCAGGAGAAATTGTCTGCTGTAGCACTCCAATGGCACTCGCATCATGAACTTAAACAAGGGGTTTCGGATTATTCCGAGGCTGGTCCTAAATATTGAATTTGAACGGCGTTCTTAAGTTCAATATGCAGCATCCAAGCCATCTGTGCATCCAACGGTCGAGACTGCTGCTTATTCCATACATCAGCAACTCTGTGTCTACCTCAGTACCAGAGTAAGCAACTTCTAATATTCGTGCTAGTGTAATCGAATGGTGCGGTGCATCCAAGGTAACCACAAGGTGGCGCCTCGCACTTTCAGGTTTACCCTTCATACTATAAGAGTTGGATTCTGGTGCCATACCACCCAGCTGTTCAACGTCCAATGCCTGGTCAGTCTATACTTTTCAACACGGCCTATCATTGGCACGACACTTTTTGAAATGTAACAGGGTACCATAATCTTTTTCCATGGAGAGGGTGGAAGAATTGGTTAAGCATTTGGATGTGTATGGCTGGGGAGGGCATGCAGGTATTAGTGAAGACCACGAAATGTGATCCTCCTCCTCCGGTAGGCCAGTTGAACACGAGTAAGCTATGCAATTGTTTCGTCCGGCTCAAAAGCTCCTGGCGCAGTGGTCACAGCATGTCCACATTGCCAGGGTTCCACCCGACATTATCTTCAGAGCACTGTTTTATTCATGGAGGGTCAGCTCCTGATACTTCCTCCGAGCATGTCCGTGATGGAAGGCGGTCCCGCAGAACTCGAATGCGACCTGGAGTCTTTCAGTCTTGTGTTGTTCTATGTGGTTGTGGAACACGATCCGAAACGCCGCCGACTCTGACATAAGGGTCTTGAATATGCGGCTAAAGATGTTGGTGCATGGTGCATGGCCATAGCTAAGGAATTGCAGTTGCACTATGAGCGCTTGAGCAACCGACGTTGATCATTTATTTTGAACAGTTGTGTATACTCTCCATCACGTAGTGATGAGGCTTCTTGGAGCTAAAATACGACTATCACTGGATTCTATGTTTTATTGTGTTGATTCTGAACCAGTCAGTTCCTATCGCGCTTACGCGCACATGTTATTAGCATCGATAGTTTTGACCACTTCTTGTTTGGAAACGATCGACATTGACGGTTATCCGACACGTTGACCGATGATCGATGGTTACGCCGCAGCGCATAAAACGGACCCTTTGCTCGAATTTTGTGGCTGCCACAAGAAATCTTTTATAGTTGTCATCGCATCGCTGCCCACCCAGATTCATAACTGCGCATCCTCAGTCATTTTTTTCACCGAAAGCTGCGAACCAGCAAGGTTCGTTCTGATATTTTCTAAATCTTGCAAATGAGTCTCACCTCCGAGTCACTAGCAGTGCCAATTCTTCAAGCCATGAACCAAGTTCGTCATGTCACCCTAGGATTGTTAGATTTGCCCGTCGAAATCCTCTTAGACATGCTCGGTCATCTAGATGTGTACGAACTAGTACGAGCATGTCAAGTAAGGACAAGGTTTTCTATTTCCAAATTATTAACTCGGTCTCCCCAGGTAGCTCAGGTATGCAACGATATTCGACACGTAATCGACCCTTTCTCGGAGTTGTTATATTCGATTGACCTCGAGTTTTTCAACGCGATTCCGGTTCCTTCACCTGGCCCAGATCGTACTGTCTCATCACTTCGCAAGTCGCTTCGACAAAGCGAATCCACATGGCAGAAAGCTGAGTGCATCAAAAGACATCCCATCTCCATGCCGAAAATGCCCCCTGGCACGTACCAATGGTCTTGCGGCATTCTGGCATTCCCACTGCCAGGGGAATCTCTACAGCAGATAACGTTTTTCCAGCCGCAACCGGCAGACTCTGATCATGCCAATAGCACGAGCTCATGTCAATGGGGCTGCCAAATCGATCGTGCAGTCTCACACTACACTACTTCACCCCTGCAGAACCTCCTGATTGTCCTTGTCAGAGCACCCCTGGGGTCAGTAGATCCTTCAAGTTGCATCTCAGTTAGGCTATAATAACGTACATCAAGGGAGAGTCACGCCTATGATGTTATTTTCAGATCACTCAGAGGATAAAGTCCATCCTGAAGCTGCATCCGCTGTGGTGAAAGCCCTCGACAACAAGGTCAACCTGAGGTTATCCAACCCCCCCACCCCCCGCTATGTCATCCTCGATTTTCGGGGATTATTGTAGTGTTTTGTTCAGAAATATTCACAAAGAAGATGGTGGAGTGGCAGACTTTTTGCAAATTTGAAACTGGAGGTCAAAGGACATTTTTCAGGTAAGTGAATCTCCTGACTCATTGTTTTGACTCGTGAACTTACCTGGGCTTTTAGTGCCTTGGGCCAGATTGTACAACGACGGATTTCAATTTCCAAGCGAAAAACCTCCCGTTGCCAACACAAGGGAACTACTGCTGTATTCCCTCGTTCATTTCACCGATGCTCCCCATATTACCGCCAAATTTTTGCTCCCTGCCTTGCAGACATCCTTTGAATACAAATTTGTCGGCTTCAACCCCATTCCGTCTTACGCACGCACACATAATCATATCATCGCCATCAGTATGGACATTTCAGAGGAGTCCCTCACTACTTACGCGCCGGCGCCTCGCTTAGTTGTTCTATCGAACTAGTCTGTTTATTTCATTTTCATTTTGCGTTGGGAAATGACTGCTAATATAATCCTATCATATGTGATTCTATTGTCAATGCATGATGTTCTTCAACTCGTCTCGCACTACAGACGTCCCTCTCGACCAGTCTTAGCCAAGTGGTAAGCGTGACTGCCACCAACAGGACAGAAATTTGTTGCAGGTTCGAAACTTACTCAACAATCTTTTTTCCGTTTCTCGGTCGGTGCGTAAAGGATTGGCGTTTCTCGGCCCGAAGCGCAGCGAGGGCAAAGAATATTGACTTTGGATTAGTGTACTAGGCAGACCACTTCCAGCACCCAGCGCTGCAGACCGCTGTCTCCTAAGATAAAGCGCTGGTAGGTAGGGCATCGAGAAGCTAGTAAAGCAGTAGGGCAGCAGTTTCGAGCCTGCGAAAGCTCTCGTCAGGGGGCTACCGCTGCCCCAACTGCTTGTACTTCTAGTTCTATGTAGGAAGCTCCCTTTTAAGCCTGTCGAGTGGGAGTAAATGGTCCGTGCACGATATACCTTCCTAGCGTGGTGTAGGCAAAGCAATCTGCCGTCCGAACTCATGACCCACCCGTGGAAAGGTCCAGCTGATGGGATATATTTATTCGCGAGCTCGAGATCTTGAGCCCAGAGCCTTTAGCCCCTATGAGCAAATAAGGAATACGGCCAGATTGTTCTTTCGAAACAATCTCGGACTTTCAGGTATCCATGTAGGTAACGACATCCAAAGTATATAATCCTTACACTCGGAACACACCTTGACATCCACTCAATGGCCCTCGTGGATGGTTTTGTCGAAGGTTCATCTAACTGGTCTCAACTAAGTGGCTACCACAACTTGAACAGAATCAAAATCTGTTTCTCTTAGTCACGATACAGGTTCGAAACTTGCCGATTGACAAGTTTTTGTTTCTACTGGAACACACCTTGAAGGTTCAAACGTTCACTCATGGATGGTTTCCTCCGAGGGTTACTTCAACTTCGTCCTGGCCACTTTGAAGTGATTACCACAACAGAATCTAAATCTGTCTCTTGGACTGTTCCAGTGCAGATTCCAAACCTGCCGATGATTTTTTTCATATCGGAATATGCCTTGAAGATTCACTCATGGATGGTTTCCTTGGAGTCCATCCTAACGGTATAAGTTATGGCCAGGTGGTTTCCACGACAGAATCAAAATCTGTCAAACCTGCTCACGACAATGTTTTTTTGCTTATCGACACACTTCGACTCGGACATTCGCTCATGGATGGTTCCCCCAGAGGCGTATCTAACTGGTCTTCGCCAACTGGTTCCCACAACAGAATCAAAATCTGTTTCTCTTCGACTGCGCAGGTTTGAAACCCGCCGAATGTCCTTTTTCTATCGGATCAAACCTTGACATTGACTCACGGATGGTTCTCTCAGAGACGTATCCAACTGGTCTTAGCCAAGTGGTTACCGCAACAGAATCAAAATCTGTTTCTCTTCGACTGCGTAGGTTTGAAAACTGCCCAGCGACATTTTTCTATCGGATCAAACCTTGACATTGACTCATAGATGGTTTCCTCAGAGGCGCATTTAACTGGTCTTAACCAACTGGTTCCCACAACAGAATCAAAATCTGTTTCTCTTCGACTGCGCAGGTTTGAAACCCGCCGAATGTCCTTTTTCTATCGGATCAAACCTTGACATTGACTCACGGATGGTTCTCTCAGAGACGTATCTAACTGATCTTAGCTAAGTGGTTACCGCAACAGAATTAAAATCTGTTTCTCTTCGACTGCGTAGGTTTGAAACCTGCCCAACGACATTTTTCTATCGGATCAAACCTTCACATTGACTCATAGATGGTCTTAACCAAGTGGTTACCTCAACAGAATCAAAATCTGTTTGTCTTCGACTGCACAGGTTTGAAACCTGCCGAATGACATTTTTCTGTCGGATCAAACCTTGACATTGACTCATGGATGCTTTCCTCACAGACGCATCTAACTGGTCTTAGCCAAGTGGTTACCACAATAGAGTCAAAATCTGTTTCGCCTGGAGTTGGTTCGAAACCTACTGACAACATTTTTGCGGTGTATAGATCCTTGGAGGTCCATCTTACCCAGGTCCAGTCATCGTGCCGGAACCTCTTTTTTATGTGATAGTCTCTCCATGAAAATGGTTTCATGCCCCGCAATGGCTTCAGCTTTTCCTCGTAAAGTTTTCCAGTTATCATCCATAACTTACGGGCGTTCGAGAAAGCTCGAGGAGCTGGTTCGATTTTCGATGAAAGATGGAACAATGACGCGTACTGGTATCGATGTACAGTACCAATAGTAAATTACCCTGCAATGTGTGATAGATGCACTAAATTCTTCCTTCCTGTTCCCGCTTTGCCGCAGTGAGTTGGTTTGTCCAGACTAAATTCTATCCTCCACATGTCCTGTGCTACAGAGGATCGCTCCGATTTTCACGCGTTACACATCGTCGCCCGTTGAGACCTGTCCGCGTTCCTAGAAGCAACTGTACTCGTACCAGCACCCTCGTCAGAGCTAGCCACGAGTTTAGCATGATATTCTCGAATGCCAAGGATCAGACGCGGCCCCAGCACAGATATCTGAATGGGCTGTTAGTTTGCCTTGGTCTAGCTGGGGCCCAAATCGCACTCGATCCTTCGAGGAAAGCTCGTACGATTCTTGCAAAAATGCCGTCTTTGGCTTTCGGGCTGTATCTTCAGTTGGCAACCAGAGTTCGCGGCCTGAGCCCCGACCATCGTGTATCCGCGATTTCAACCCTCATCGAGTGGCGGACTTCAAGGCTTGGAACGGCAATAGATGGAATCAACGACTTATCGAGGGCGAGACGCCGAGCTCGAGTTTGTTCATAGAGTCACTTGGATCTGGTCTTCCGTATATCGAGACGACCACTAAAGAGAAGTTCTCGCAAGCGGGTGAACAGAATTTTGTCGAGTATGAAGTTGTAAGCCGGAGCATCGAGGTACTTGATTTCGAGTACTTAGTAATTACCTCAAGCTTCATGTAATTTGAGCATTTTAATACATTTTGCGTCTTACTTGCGTATCGAGTGTTAGTGCGCTTTACACACCAGTTGCCCAGGTTTGTTCACTGTAGTATGTACATTCGAACATCAAATAACTTCCCCGACTCCCACAATAGTGGAGGAAGGTCCTTGTCGAATTCGGATACGTCCACTTTTCTCTTGCAAATTGGGTTTTATCGATCGTTTTGCATAGACCGAAATTCTGCTCGACGAGACATTGAAAACTGCATGTGGTGAGTCTAACAAGTCATGTTTCTAAGACGACCCTCGCGAGGCGTGAAGGTGAATTCCTTTTCATGGATAGACTATCACACAAAAAGGAGGTTTCGGCACAACGTCGGGGCCTAGTCAAGATGGACCTCCGAGGATCTCAGATACACGGTAAAATGTTGTCGGGAGATTTCGAACCGACTTCAAGAGAAACACATTGACTCTGCAGTGTTAGGGTAATCACTTGGCTAAGATGAACCTCCGACGAAACCATCCATGAGTGAATGTCACTGTGTGTCCCGAAGAAAAAATACCTTGTCGTTCGACAGGTTTCGAACCTGCGCAGTCCAAGAGAAACAGATTTTGAGTCTGTGGGTTAAACACACAGCTCACCAACAGCTCACATCAGTTAAGATGAGCATCTAAGGAAAGTATCCATGAGTGAATGTCAAGGTGTATTCCGATAGCTGTTGGCAACATGTTTCAAACTTGCGCAGGAACAGATTTTGACTCTGTTGTGGCAACTACTTTCGCTAGGATGAAGTTAAGATAAACCTCCGAGGAACTATCCATGAGAGAATGTCAAGGTGTGTTCCAAGAGAAAAAGATGGTGGAGCAGGGCCAGCGGCCTAAGGCCAGAGCAAAGTAGACAAGCTATGATGATGCTAGCTACGAACATGGTGAAACCTAGTCTATGTGCTGACTAAGCTATGGAAAGGGCCGAATAGCGTAGCTCCTGCCCCTGGTCCAACGGTTATCAGCAACTTGCACAGTCCAACAAGAGAAACAGATTTTGATTCTGTTGCGATAACCACCTGGCTAAGACCAGCTAACCTGTAGCTCAGAGGAAACCATCCGTGAGTGAATTGTCAAGGTACGCTGTGTTTGGAGAGGAATAACCGAGCCTAAAGTAATAAAGCTAGTGCGTGCAGAAGGTAAGCGGAAAAAGGGTAACTGCAATCAGTGTAAACTCACCTCAGAAAGTGGCCTATGTGGGATTTCATTATAACCCTTACTACGGGTCGCGTTTATCTTGCGCCTCTTATGATGTTCCGATTCAACAGATCACAACCTATAAGTATCGTATCCAGTAAAAAGTCTTGTGATATTTCTGTCACACCTGTTGTGTTATAGGATTACCCCGGACCAGACGGATCCTAAAAATGTTCGCACACAAGTTCCGATTCGTACCACGTCTGGTTGGAGACCACCCACTAGCGAAATAAGTGCAAAGTTGGAAACGAATAAGGAGCATACTTACCCCATGCCCTCAAATGCCATAGGTGGGAACGACTATTGATCAGCGTTGTCAAGTCCTAAAGCATTCTAGTGGTAGCATCCATATGACATGCAGTGCTAATCCTGCCCACGATCTTCAGGGCATCCTACATAACAAGTATCAGACGCCCAACAGACGCCCTGCTTTTAGTTTGAAGATCTACGGGCCGCAATCGCCGTCCCCGTTATATCCGAAGAAGTTGTGCGCGCCAGTGCGCGTTTAGTGTTGCTCGAGTCCTCGAAGCAAAAGGAGTTGTCAAGGCTACGGAGGTCACTGAAACGGACGGTCAGTGTGTTTTCTTCTTCGAGCATCACATTGTGACAGACACGGACCGGGACACCGCTAGGTCAAACACAAATTTTCCTCGGTATATGTCGGCTACCCTGACCGGTGCACTGACTTCGGCGTCATAAAGGTACAGCCATGAACCAACCTTTCAGAAGAGTGCTTTAATCGGATCCATGCTCAGCGTGAATAA